CATGCAGGCAGAACATTGTATACATAATAAATAAAAAAATCTTTAAAAATTATAAAAAAAAAAAAGGAAGGCCTCAAAGGTTTGGTTGGCTGGCTGGCTGAAACAGTCATCGAAGATGGCCCTACTGAAAAGGAACTGGGGATGCCCAATATCCCTTTGTTTAGTGTTGATGATGGGATTTTTAAGCTCGGGGAAATTGGAATTGTGGAGTGGGTACGCTGTGAAAAACCTAGTCCTCCGTAATGGGAAGGCCCGAAAGACACCTACACTAACCCTGTAGGATTCGGACGGTTTGAGGGGCAACAGCACATTTGAAGAGCTTTGCCATAACTATTTTTCTTGTGCCTGACCTTAGAGTTGGAGACCGAAGCTCAACTGGATGAATTAAATTCACTGGGTTTAACTGGACAGTGGAGTAGCACCAAGACCTATATATAGGTGAGGCTGGGCCAGAAATGCCTGTATCCTTCTTGAAATGAATTGTTTTCCTGTGCCTCTGACCTTCAAGAAACAATTATGATTTAACTCTCCAGCAAGAGTTGTGAAAAGGAAGCTAAAGGACTTGTTATCCATGGATTTATCTAGTACTGTTTCTTGATTTTGATCTTCTTGGTACTTTTTACACCACTTTAAGTAGGAAGCCTAAAAGCAGTGGGGAAAAAATGTCTGGTACATGCTTTTATTCCCAGCGTTCCAGAGGCAGAAGTAGGTGAATCTCTATGAGTTGGATGCTAGCCTGGTCTATGCAGTGAGCTCCAGGCCAGCCAGGTCTACATAGTGAGAACCTGTCTACAAAAACAAAAACAGTCAGGCAGTGTGGTGCATGCCTTTAATCCCAGCATTCTGGAGGCAGAGGCAGGGAGGCAGAGGCAGGCAGATCTCTGTGAGTTCAAAGCCAGCCTGGTCTACAGAGCTAGTTCCAGGACAGCCAGGGCTATTAGACAGAGAAACCCTATCTCAAAAAGTCAAAGAAAGAAATGAAAGAAAAGAAAGAAAGAAGGGAAGAAAGAAGGAAGGAAGTAAAGAAAGAAAATGCATGGCTTTATCACTACTTGAGAGAACAAATTTCTTCTAGAACTTCACAAGATAGTTACAAAGGGTAGTTAGTAGTTAACATTCTACTAAAGAGCAAGTAATGTGAAGTTAACTTAGTTAAAATAAATTACTTTCTAACACAAATTATGCCAGGAGACCAAAGCTTAATCTTGAAGATCTCTGCTTGACAGTTATTTGTACTTGTCAAAAGTAATGGCCAGAGGAAGCAGGTGGATCCACATAGCAAGTTCCAGGCCACCCTGGGCTACGTAGAGAATCACAGACCTTGGGGAGGAAGGGGGAGGAAAGGAACAGAAGGTAACATCACTATGAAGCAGATTCAAACACTCGCTTCTACTGGTTTGTGATGAATCTGATCCTTCCACATAGTAGGCCGTTTCCTGGGGACAAGGCTTTTTAGGGTGTCCCCCCACTGATGGAGGTGTAGCCCCAGGGAGTCTCCCATGACTTTGCTGTTTTTGTTTTGTTTTGTTTTGTTTTTTTATGGCTATCTGCTTGAGTCTGTGCCCCGCTTTCTACCCCTTCTTCCTACACTGTAAGTTTAGTGAAAACAACAAATGTCTTCATGCTCTTTGAGTGCTCTACCCTGGACCTAACACAGTATTGAGTAAGCTGGTGAGCTAAGGCATCAGAATGCCGATTAGACAGGGAGTGAGTATCTTTAGTTGCTCAGTAGCATGCCTGATGTTTTCTCTGAATGGAAGGGGAATATTGACAGAAGTCATGAGAATTTGTCTGAAGACAGACCCCTGCAACTGCTGTAGCTAGGACACTAGTGTCGTTAGCCTGCGGCAGCACCCAGCCCATGTCTGAAATGGTGTGTCTTCAATTCACTGTGTAGCCGTCTGCAGCCGTGGAAGAGACTCCCCCTTGCGGCTTACTGCTCGTTCAGGCTGACTTCTTTCAAAGTTTTTACTCAGTTGAAGCTGAGATCTTGAGTAACACTGCAGAAAAAGAATTTCAGGATAAAACTATGAAGACAGGTTAGAGCTTATTTAAAGATTTTCATATATATTTAAGGGTGTTTTCATTAGATTTAAGAGAAAACTTCTCCCTGCAAAGGTAATAATAATAGGAAGCTCATATTATATGTCAGATATGAATGACTGCGGCCTGGGAAGATAGATTCATTTCTCCCGGAATAATATATTCCAGTGTAGAAACAGTTACATGGGCTTTTAGTCACAGAACAAAAGAAAGCCACAAATAGCTGGTGTCACTATCTGAGGAGGTTGTGGAATCTTCAGGAAGTGGGGCCTTTTGGAAGAACTACATCACCAGCAGCAGCCATGAGGTTTTTATAGTCTACCCCACACACACACATCCTTTTCTCTTTTGGATCCCTCCTGCCACCATGCCTTCCCTTGCCCAGTGCTATGCCGTACTTGCCAGTGGACTGTTACCACCTCCTGGAACTATGAGCCAAAATAACCTTTCTCCCTTATGTTACTTTTGTCACTGCATTTCATCACAGCAACAGAAAAATAACTAAAACACATCCTCACATATGTAGTTTATACATATTTTATTAGGTTACTACCTAAGCTTTTCACTTTGAGGATAGTAGCATAATGGTAATGTCTCAAATTTAATCTCATTTCACCTGTTCAGTTCTTCTGTTTGCTTGTTAATCTGTTAGACAATTGATGGGTGCTTGGAAGTTGGCGTGCATATTCAGAAATGTTTTGCCACCTGAAGCCTTTGAGGAGGTAAGCTCTGTGACCTACTCTGTATTTGTTTAGGGGAAGGTCTGTTTTGTATTGAAATAATTTCACCTTGTTTTTCAGCTCCCAGAACTGTCTCATAGTTGTAGACAGGAGCAACAACAACAAAAAAGAAAGAGAAAGTTCGTATGAACAGCCAGAATGTCTAAGGCTCTATTCGAAGCAGGAGATAACAGATTCTAACAGAATAGTTCTTTATGAAAGATTAAAAGGAGAAAGTAGATTAAACCACTGTAGCATAGCATTGTGTTCCCTAACCGTTGAGCACATAGCTTGATGTTTTAGAGTTAAAAGAGAATGACTATAATAAGAATACAAATTCCTCTTCCTGGTGCATAGTAAATATGCAGCAATTATATAAAAAAGTACAACTTGGATAGGTATGAGAGCTTAGAAATTGAGCTAAAGGGAGAAGAATAAGGAAGATCATTGGGGTGTGGCTGAAGGTTGTGTGGAAGGGATGGGTGAGACAGTCTCAGATAGACTAGGCTGGCCTTAAATTCATTGTGTAGTCATGGCTAAATCTTGAATTCCTGGTCCTTCCTCTCCCATTCCACTGGAATTACGACTTCTGCCACCACACTCATATCACTTCCTATAAGGAGTATTTGAGAGTGAGTTGGAAACTGATTAAGAAATAATTACTGAGGCTTCTAAATATAAGACTGGGAAATGGATCTTAATCATGTAGGAACTGTGAAAGCCATCGGAAGTGTTTGTATAAGGAATACAGTGGCATGCAGCATGCTTTGGGACAAGACAGACAAGTAGGCTAGCAAGCTGCTTCAGTGTCGGCAGTCTGGTAGCAGAGAAACTATCGATTCTAGAATCTCTGTCCTTAACAGTGTAAAGCATCTCCAAAGACTCAGCATACTTGATAGATTACAAAGGGTACCCAATGCTCAGAGACTTCTCCTTAGGATAGTTATAATGGAAAATGTAAACTGCACTGTGGAATTGCTTCCTAAGAATCTAAAGTTATTTCCTCTGAGTTCAAAAATGTGGAATTATTTTCATTGAGGAAAATAAAAAGTACTTTAAGAACATTCCAGACAGCTTAGGACACAATTTAAGAATGAGAATGTCAGGCGGATCTCTGTGAATTTGAGGCCAGCATGGTCTACAGAGCGAGTGCCAGGATAAGCTCCAAAGCTACACAGAGAAACCCTGTCTCGAAAAACAAAACAAAAAATAAACAAACAAAAAAAAAAAAAGAATGAGAATGTCAAGTTGTCTGAGTGGAATGTGTTTCCACTCTGGTAGCAAGGAAACTAAAGGACATCTTCCTCTCTGTACTGAGATCCTCAGGATATTCTCCACTACACAGGCATAAGTGCATTGCTGTAAATTAAGAGGGGGGGGGGAACAGAACTTCCAGGAGAACAATGTCATCTGCAGTGACGGGAAATTATCACTCCCTGCTGCTCATATTGCATTCGAGGAACTTAGAACCACTAATTAGAAACCAGGCAAACTGCAGAAAATCAGTTGCTGTGGACTTTCTCTGCTTGGTACCTTTAGGTTGGCTATCACCTGCATGGCAGTTTGTCCCAGAGAATAATCCCTGTGTCTGACAGGTTCTGCCTGAAGAAGATCCTCCCTCATTGGCTTCACTACTCTCGAGCTCTATCAGGAGCAGAAGCCATCAATGCCTTGAGGCCTTTCTACTTTGCAGTTCATCCGGATTTCTTTGGACAGCACCCCAGGGAAAGGGTAAACACTATTCTTTAACTTGATGTCTATATGTAGTATAGTGCATAAATAGTAGATTTACCTTTGACCCAATATAATGCAGTAAGTTCAGATTATTCAGTCATGGTAATGTTTGACATAGAAGCAATACTAACTTGAAAAATAATAAAGTTTCAAATTAATAAATTTAGTAAATATTTGTAATGTTAGAAATTGAAACCATTGTTTATTCAAAGCTGTCATTGTTTATATAAACAATAAAGTTGCCACATAAATTGAAGAGCACCCTAATCATGTTTTCTGTACTAGTTTTTGGAGTAAAATGGAAGGCTTGAAAGAAAAGTCTTTCTTCACAGAATCTTTCTTCTAAGGATACCCCAGGCTGGTTTTCAGGACCTGGAGATGTCCCTGCATGCTGTGTGCTCCTGGGCTTGTGCTGCCTGCTTTGTGCTCAGGGAGTACAGCTGACAAAAGTAACGTTAGGTAATGTTGCAGAGCTGAGAGTACTCACTGGTCCCTTTGTTTTCATTAACACTGGTCCCTGATTTAACTGGAATAGTAAACCCTGGGCACCAGGCTCAAGTGAACATCCTCCAGTGGTAGCACATTGCTGCACATCAGTCACTCCTGGGGACGAAGACCTGGCTGTGAATCTGCACTGTGGAGCAGCCAAGGCTTACCCTCTGCCTTGTGCACCTGTGCACTGCCAGCCGTCCTACTTTGGTAATCCTCACCTAACTATAACAGCCTTTCCAAGTTCTGTGAATCCCAGCAGGCCACTGGACCTGAGTGTGATCTTGGGGACTCTTACTCATCAGGGTGCAAATCTGATCATTTGTGTTTCCACTTACTCTTTCAGCTGGTGTGCTCTGAGCACTTACTCTTTGCCTAGACGTTGTGCTCACTGCTCTCTCAGCTTGGACTGTCCTTGTAGATGGATGTCCCAGTGTGGCCTAACCTCTTCCTCTCAGTGAGCCTCCCCCAGGCTTCCTTCCTTCCTTCCTTCCTTCCTTCCTTCCTTCCCTCCCTCCCTCCCGGTGTTCTCTCTTCTTACCTATCAGGGTTTTCTCTGTTCCTGTTTTCCTTCCCATGCACCCTATCCTATTTATGAGGGTATTGTTTATCTCCTGCCATCAGTGAAATGCAGGCTCCATGAAGGCCTCTAACTCAAATAACCATTTCCCATTCAGCTTAGGCTCTTCCTTGGCTCACCAAAAACTTGCCCCTCTGCTAAGGACAGACTCAAGTTCCAAGTGCTTCTAGCGGTCTACTCCAAGTACAGGATTTCACACTGTTACCCTCTGGTGTGATTCCTTTCCTCTTAATACTCTTAATTTTAAAGTATGAGATACTAATAGATTACAAAATTCACAGCTAGATATAAAATTCACTTAAAAATCTCAGTCTGGTCCCTGTTTCCTTTACCCTGTTCATATTCACTTCTTACAGATCTTTATTTTTATTGACTTCTGAGTTCCATTGTTTCTTGTGACAAAAATGAAAACACCAAAAGCAACTTTGAAGATTTCAGTTTTATTTGGGTAGACTTTGGTATTGGTTTTGGGACAGGGTGTCACTATGTGGCTCAGGCTACCCTCAAACTCAAGATATTCCTTCTACTTTAGCTTCCCAAATAAGGGGATTTTTGGTTTATGGCAGCAATATCTAGCCCATTTGCTTTGTTTTGTTTTTGTTTTTATGATAATTTTTTAAAGATTTATTTATCATGTATCCAGTGCACACCAAATCCTGTTACAGATGGTTGTGAATCACCATGTGGGTGCTGGGAATTGAACTCAGGACCACTGGAAGAACAGTCAGTGCTCTTAACCCCTGAGCCATGTCTCCAGACCTTTGTTTTTGTTTTTTGAGAGTGTCTCACTATGTAACTCAAGTTGACTTCAGACTTGCTATGAATCCCAGACTTGTCTGAAACCAACAATTGCCTTGCCTCAAACTCCCAAAGATTGGAATAAGATGTGAGGGAATCTCCCTGTGACATCTATCACACGGTAGATGATCTGGCAGGTTAGGCAGGTGTCTTCTTTTCCTCCGTTCCACTTTGTGCACATCCCTCCAAAAGCTTGGTGCTTGGTTTAGAAGGAAAACTTTCTCTAATCCAGGCGAACCATTCTGCAGTCAAGTGTACCTATCCTGGTAGCTGTGCTCCCCTACCAGAGCCTCCAAACAAGCTCTCAAGGTCCAACTGCTAGTGCAGCAAGATTTAATGTCACAGTGGCAGGATTGTACCCAACCTGCTTAGGGATTCTCCCGACCAAGCATGTCATATAATAAGTTCTAGAAACAAAATGCAAAATGATTTCTACTCTCAAAACATTCTGTTAAGGAAGAGAGATTTAAATAATCAAAAGCAGTTGTTATTGCCAGTTATGTACACCTTTAATCCCAGCAGGGCTTCATAGTGAGACCTTGTCTCAACGATAGATAGATAGATAGATAGATAGATAGATAGATAGATAGATAGATAGATAGATAGATAGATAATCTGATAGATAGATAGACAGACAGACAGACAGACAGACAGGACATAAGGCCCAGCAGTTGTTGTTAATTCAGGCTTAAGAATGTGTAGCTCTACAACTTCAGGGCCATCCTAGGCTTAATAGAGAAACTTAAAAATAATAAGACCATCAAGACAGCTCAGCCAGGAAAGGCATTTACTGCCAAGGTGGTTAACCTGAGTTAAGTCCCTAGAATCCACATGGTAGAAGGCAATTGTTCCCTGACTTCCACACATACACTGTAACATGCACAAAACATGCGTGGGCACTTGCACATACACACACACACACACACACACACACACACACACACACACAATTTTTTTAATATAATAAGAGAGGCAGTGATTGTTCATGCCATTCTGTTACCAACAGCATTTCTTCTTTCTTACATAACAATTGTCCTTGAAATCCCTCAATGCCTGTTGATCACCCTTCTCTTCTTTTGGGGAAGTACTCCAGTAATCAAGAAATTGACGACAGACCGTGGTGGTGCACACCGTTAATCCTGCAGAGGCAGGTGGTTCTCTGTGATTTCAAGGCCAGCCTGGTCTACAGAGCGAGTGCTAGGACAGGCGACAAAGCTACACAGAGAAACCAAAGGAAAAAAAAAAAAGTTGCCATTGTCATATACATCTAAGAGCACATTGTTGCCCTTTACTATAAAATAAGTTATATTTTCTCCAATTTGGTCATTTGTCTTAAAGCTTTGTTTACTACATGTATTTGGGGTTTTTCTAATTTTTTTAAAAATGTATCCCAATGGTTTATTGAGGTGATACTATTAAAAATAATAAATTCAATTATATATTCATTAATTTATTGCTGTGGGAGAGTAGTCATAGCTAAGCTGCTCTTACTCTTAAGTGATGAAGGAATCCAATCACCTTTTATCCTGATGCTTACATGATTATATGTTGTGTCTCACCTTCAGTGTTTATTCTTTTACCAAACACCTGTGAAATCCCAACATTCCTTTAAGTTGTATTTGGGGTGTGTATGTCTGTGTGTCTGTACGACTGTGTTGGGGTGAGGAAGTACAGTTGTCTATGGATGCCAGAAAAGGGTACTGGATCTCCTGGAGCTGTAGTTGCAGGCAGATGTGAGCTGCCATTTGGGGCTGGGACTGAAGCCGTATTCTCTGCAAGCCATCCTTCCAGCTCTCCACCTTTTTTTTTTCCTTTACATACAAGATTTCACTGTATAACCCTGGCTGGCCTGGAACTCACTATGTAGGCTTCTATATAGGTTGGCCTTGACCTCACAGAGACCTGACTGCATCTGCCTCCAAGTGCTGGGATTAAAGGTGTGAGCCACTATGCCATGTTCCCTCAATATTTTTTTAACAAAAAATTACTTAATATCTTTAATACATTTAAAGACTACAAATAATTTCTTCTTTCTTCATTCACATGTAAATGCCCATAATGTTTTTTTTTTTTTCTCTTAGGAAATCAATGAAAATTCTCTTAAGAGATTAAGTGTCTACTTAGAAAATCTCCAGAAACCAGGCTTTAAGTCTCTGAAACCAACTCAGCTTACATTTTACATAAGAGAAAAGACAGCCCAGCACTCCTCTGAAGGCCAGGAGCCTTCCAGTACTTCTGGTACGTTGTTTTATTTCTGTTGTGTCCCTTGCCAGCTTCATGTGAAATGTGTTCATTAATTCTGACAGTGCCAGAATACCTTTGGATTAAAGCCTTGATTGTTGATAAATATTATATAAATTGTTTTCCTAGAATTAGATTCCTAGCTGCATATGTTTAAACATTTTTTTTCCCTGAAGCCAAGTGTTAAGGTCCATGCCGTTAATCCCAGTATTTGGGAGGCAGAGACGGGTGGATATCTGAGTTTGAGGCCAGCCTGGTTTACATAGTGAGTTCTAGGCCAGCCATGATGGTGTACAGCCAAACTACGAAGTGAGACCCTGTATCAAAACAACAGAAACCCTGAAGTGTTCTTATTTATGGCCTTCCAAATTCAGTGTTGGTCTGAGTGTTAGGCATGTCTGTTACTTTCACACTGAAATCTACAGTGTTCCTTCTCTTATTGTCCCTGAGAGGGTAGAAATGTTTGACTGTTTGTCACTTAGTGACATCCACCCTACTTTCAAAGACCACAGAGACAGAGTAAGGTCATGAACTCAAGTCTCTCAACTTCTGCCTAATGCTGTTTCTACACAGTAGTGCTTGCTTTCACTGACTCCATCAGGATGCAGTAAGGTTGACAAGTAGGACCTCTGTGTGGGTGCATGCCTCTAACCCCAGTCCTTGTGATGCTGATCGGTGCAAGAAGACTGTGAGTTTGAAGCAAGATCTATGTTAAAAACAGACCAAAAACAATGTGAAGAGCTGAATGTGTCAGTGTGCCTGTGTCCCCAGCACACCACAGCCAAGGCAGTAGATTACTACCAGCTGGAAGCTAGCCTGGGCATTGAACATAGGAGAAAGTGAGACTCTTATAGCCCCCAAACTGCAAGGCTTGGGCCTTTCCAAGGATTGGGGGATTCTTGGTTATGTAGAAAGTTGGTTGAGTATCTCAAAATTATTTGGCAGAACATCTTATCAGGGTGGATGTCAGGGTATGGTCAGAGTATAAGACGTAGACCATGTCAAATTCCAGAAAATGGGTCAAGACACATCAAACCAAGTTTTACAGAAAACAGAAAGGAACTTATTTTGACCTGTGTAACAAGTTGGCTTTTCTCTCTAGCCTGTGTCTCCCTGCCAGCTGTATGTAATTCTTCCCCAGCTGCATCGACCTGATCTTATGGTCGAAGGAGTTCCCACAGAATTTAGAGCATTCCATGTACAAAGATATAAAGCTGTCTTCTTTGGTGTTAAATTGAGACTTTCTGGTATGTCTGTGTGATGGTTTGATCAGGAATGGCCTCCATTGGCTCATATTTGACTGTTTGGTCATTAGAGAGGCACTACTAGGAGGTGTGGCCTTTTCAGAGTAGGTGTGGGCTTGTTGCACAATCCATGTTACAAGAGTTGCCATAAGGGGAGGGCCTAGGTCCTGCCCCAAATGACATGACAGATTTTGATGGGAGGGAGAAGGAAATTAGATCGTTTCTAATTTAAATCAAATGTACAAAATCATTTCTATTTAAATAAAATGTATAAAATTGTTAAAAAAAAAAGTTGGCTTTTAGTCATCAAGTGACAAAAGGCTCAGTATGGATAATAGTCACTTGTCATGTGACTGCTGAGTATTTGAAAGGTTGCTCATGTGATCACGGAGCTGGATTTTAAGTTCTATTTAAATGTTTTTGTAGTAGTGGTGTTAGGGGGCGAGCTGGGTTGGTTTTGAAAAAAAGTTTCTTAGCCCAGGCTGGCCTCACATTCACTATGTAGACAAGGATAACCTTGAAGTCCCAATCCATCTGACTTCACCTCTCCCAGAAGTTGGAATTACAGACCTATACCACCGTGACCAACTTAGTTTAAGTATTTTGATTGTGAGTATCCAATTGTGCGTGGTTAGTACATATTTAATACATGTTGTTCGAAGACTGGGTACCAACTGTTAACAGTGGTTATATCTAGTATAGGTCTGAGATTATATGCACGTTAGTAGACTTTTACTCTGTGTGTGTGTGTGTGTGTGTGTGTGTGTGTGTAACTGTACCATGAGCATGTTTATAAAGTATTTATAGCCCAAAATCATAGCGCACCCCTTTGACCCCAGCACTCAGGAGGCAGAGGCAGGTGGATCTCTGTGAGTTGGAGGCCAGCCAAGGCTACATAGTGAGACCTTGTCTAAAATAATAATGATAATAGAATTTTAAAACCTAGGGCCTTGGGGCTGGAGAAATAGCTCAGCAGTTTAAGAGCACTGACTGACCTTCCGAAGTACCCTGGTTCAAATCCCAGTACCCACATGGCAGCTCACAGTTGTCTGTAATTTCAAGATCTGACACCCTCACATAGACATACATGCAGGCAAAACATTGATGCACATAAAATAATACAAATAAATTATTAAAAAAAAAAAACAGGGCCTCGTGTGTTCTAGGCAAGAACTCTGCCACTGAACTATATTTCCATCTCCCTTGTGTAATTTCCAAGCTACTTTTCAAAATTGGGATTGGGCCTGTAGAGATGGTTCAGTGGTTAGTGTCCCCATGTGTGCACCCTTCTCTCTGCTAGAAACTGAGTGATGGACATGGAAACACTGCCCTCTCTTTAGTGCCAAGATTCATGGGCAGCACTGAGAAACAGTCTCCAACCCCTTCTCAGCTGGGGTGAGTGTAGCACGGGTACCCAACTAGAAAGGAGTATGAACATGAACATGAAAATACTGCCATAGAGTTTGGAGGAGGAACTCGTTCTCCATTTGCTTTGGTGAATTTTTATGGGTAATAAAATGTTTTTAAAGATTTTAGTTTTATAATTGTTTCATGAAAAATGATTCTAAGGTAAAATAAGTAATCATCTGTATTAATTGTTTGGGGAATTATATTCTCTAGGGTTTCGAGCAGTCAGATTTACTTTGCACACCAGCGATCTGCTAAGCACAGTGTTATATATTCTCAACTCCTGCAGTTTGTCTGCTGAACACATCCAAAGCTTGAACACTAATGTGCACTCCCAGCCTCTCAAGGAAACCACAGGGATGCCTGGCAGACCCATCAAATGGCATAGGTCCTACTATTCCTTTACTGGGTTCAAAGACCCTGATGAAGACCTTGAACAGGTCTCAAGAGTGGAAACAACCCTCATGTAAGTAAAAGGTTTTATTTAAGCAGCCTCTGATAGTTTATGTTTAAATGTAGTTCTGATTTTACAGGAAAAGGAATTTTAGTAATATATTTGATATAGAAACCATGAGAAAAGATATTTTGTGTTTCTTAAAGTTGCAAAAACACTTCCATTATTTTGTTATTGTTTAATACCAGATACAGGCAAAAAATTTAAGTTTTTTGTTTTTTTAATAATTTATTTAACTTTATTTATGTGCATTGGTGTGAAGGTGTCAGATTCCCTGCAATTGGAGTTATAGACAGTTGTGAGCTGCCATGTGAGTGCTAAGAATTGAACCGAGTTTTCTGGAAGAACAGCCAGTGCTCTTAACCTCTGAGCCATCTCTCCAGCCCCAAGATTTAAGTTTTTTAAATCAATTCTTTACACATTGGACATTTCCAGTCTATTTAGAGGGTTCAAAGGTAATTAACTCTAATAATACATACTTACAGAAAAACACACCAGTTGTGGTGACATGTGACTGTAATCCAGCCTTTGGAATGCAGTCAGGAAGATAAAGAGATCAAGGTAGGCCAGTTTGGGATATATAATAAATCCCTGTCTCAAAATAAACAGGGGTTGGGGGGGAGATAGAGAGAAGGAGAAGATGTCTTTATAAAATATCATCTCGATGGATAATTGTAAAAGAATGTTTTTAAATTATAAAAGCTAGATATGAGTAGGGTGTGTAGTACTTTGCTTTAATCTCAGTATTTGGGAAACAGAGGTAGGAGGATTTCTGTGAGTTCAAGGCCAGTTTGGTCTACATGAATTCTCAGGCCAATATATGTATATATATTATCTGACATGTTTAGTTTAGTAAGCTGCCATTAATATTTTGATTGAGATAGATATTCATAATGTTAAATATAGAAAGCTGATTTTAAACACTTATGAGCCCATTTTTTATAAATCATATTTTGCAAACGGACAAACAATATTCATCAAAATATTATCATTGATTAGTTTAACATAGCAGTTTGGTAATTTTTTGTAAGCCTGTATCTTTTGTTTTGTTTGTGATTTTCAAGACAGGCCATCACTATGTAGCTGTGGCTGGCCTAGAACTCACTATGTAGACTAGGCTGGCACCAAACTCAGAGCTCTGTCTGCCTCTATCTTCTGATGGTTGGATTCAAGGCATGTGTCACTCAGCTAAGTCTGATGGTGCTTCTTCTTTTTTTTTTTTTTTTTTTTTTTTGTAATAGACTCCTTTAAGCCAGTCCTGTTTTGTTTCAGTGATTGTATTCAAAGAAGCCAGTAACTGACCATAACTTAAGACATTACTTTGCTATCAATTGCCACTGAACCTCCTATGTATTATCTGCTGGATACAGGAGCCATTGTCATCTAGCTACATCCCCCACAAGGTTAAGAGGAAGGTATCGGAAAGGGAGAGAAGTGTTGGACTGAGGCGAGAATGTGTGGGGGCAGGAGTCTGGCTGTGATCCTTGTCTGTGTTCATGACTGATAGCACATCACCTCTAACAGTATATTCCATTGTCTAGATCTCCTTCTGAAAACAGGCTAGAGGGCGTTGGAGGTTTGGGAGCAGAAGTGAGGAGGAGGCAGCAGGAATTAAGGCAGGCATGAAGGGTAGGGGTGTAGGGTGGAAATGGCACATCTGGTGCTAGCTGAGCTGAGCAGTCCAAGAGGGACGGTGAACACAGACGGCTGTGCTGGTGCACTCAGCACTCTCTGGTCAGCCTGCCAAAAGTCTGCATACACCTTAAGAGGATGCTGTTTGCTTACCTTGACCTGTGTCAAGGCCAAAACAGTGCTGGGGATGCCTGGCCTAAAGGATATAGAAAACGTTAGATTGTTTAATTCAAAACAAAACAAAAAAAAAATGATGGTGTTAGACCTTACTCAAGCTAAGGGGCTCAAGGATAAAGTACTAAAGAATGTCAGACCTCAGCTATGTGAGCACCCAGGGACCCAGAGCTAACTTAGCCTAGCTGACAAAATAATGAAAACAGACTGGAGCTAGAAAAAGACAATTCAGCAGTATTCTTCAGGGTTTCTTATGTAAGCTGATTTTTCATATCTTCATCTAAACATTCAACAAAATTACCATCTCTAATATGATGGACTTTATTCCATCTCTAATATGATAGACTTTATTTTATTGCAATGTTCTAGATAGTAAGCTCTGAAGAATATGGAATGTGTCTCTCATCAATGAGGTGTTCACAGAAACCACCCAATGCCTTTAATGACCTGAACTTTAAAACTATGAAATAAGGGCTGGAGAGATGGCTCAGAGTTTAGCAGCACTGGCTGCTCTTCCAGAGGTCCTGAGTTCAATTCCCAGCAACCACATAGTGGCTCACAGCTATCAATATGAGATTTGGTGCCCTCTTCTGCTATTCAGGCATACATGTAGGCAGAACACTGTATACATAATAAATAAGTCTTTTTAAAAAAAATTAAAAATATGCAATAAATATGGAGGTGGGATGTGTAGCTCACTAGAAGAGCACTAGGAAAACAAAATAAAGCTTGGTTGGAATAAATACTATGTGATGGGCTCAATGGTCGGCTCAGCAAATCCAGAGTGTTGCACGCAAGTGGAAAGTCAGTGCAGTCTGCAGTGACAGGCGTGACTTAGCAGTGGAAGGGCTGCCACATACTTTAGTGTGCCCTTGTTAACTGCACTAGCATTTACTCGAGGCATCTGCTGGTTTGCAAGAACACACTACCTCAGAACCATGCTGCCTGCTGTGGATTCTCGATTTCTTCAAGGCCATTCAGACGCTTGTGGCTTACTCTGTACCTTGAGAAGAGCAGCCTTGTAAACTACTGTTTCGGGAGTTAAAGTCAGGGAAAATTGATGACTGTTAATCAGTCCAGTTGTCAGTAGCTATCTGTCATAACATGATGGTGAACCTGTTATTAGTTAAATAGATTCTTAGCTTCCATAGGTGGAATTAATGACGACCTAGCATTATGGTAGGTGGCCAACGTTACTCAAAGGCCTTTACATGGCTTGAATGCTGATATCTCAGGGACTTGTGTGAACCCATTATAAGGCTTTGTGGAGTTTGAGTGTAGCTTTAAGCAAGTGTAATTTTATGATAGGAGGCCAGGTCAGGTACCATGAGAGAAGGCAGTCCTGCAAGAAGGAACTCTGAGAGTGAACTGCAATGTAGACTGAGTGCCTCAGAGCTGACACTAGATTTATGATGCCTGTACTTGTTGTTTTGTTTTTGAGACAGGGTCTCACTAGTTATCCTGGGCTAAGCAAGAACTCTCTGTGCAGTCCAGCTCCCTTGCCCTCCAGAGTACTGAAATTAAAAATGTGTGACAACATGCACAGCCAGAACTCTGTGTGTGTGTGTGTGTGTGTGTGTGTGTGTGTGTGTGTGTGTGTTTGTGGGACAGGGTCTCTCTAGATAGCCCTGGTTGTTCTAGAACTCACTCTGAAGGCCACGCTAGCCTGGAGCTCACCAAAATCCCCCTGCCTCCACCTCCCAAGTGCTGGGATCAAAGGCTTGAGCTATTACTCCTGCCTTGGGAACCTAGTAGTCTTAAAAGGGGGTGTGGATTAATTAATATGCCAAGTAATGAATCAAAAATTGAGCACATTTACCTAGCAGTAAGGACCTACTTCCTCATTCTGCCATGCAAAACCCTTCATGGTCTTTCCCCTCATCCCTTTAATTGTGCCTCACCTCAGGCCCTGCCCTCTACAGAGCCACCGGTTCATCTGTAGATCCACGTGCACTTGCAAGATCATCACACCCTCCCTTCTTTCCCACACGTCTCAGGTTCAGGTCCACAGTGCCCGTGGTATAGAACCTTCCAGCTGAAATTAATTTCTGAGTCCTCTTTCTTTTTCTGATGCTCTGTTCACCTTTTAGGTAAGTCTTCTTTTACAATGAAGGCTTCATCTTCCCTATATTCCAAGCACAACACCATACTGGGTATTTGGGATAAATGTTTGTTTGATAAATGCCCTGGCCCGAAGGGTCAGTCAACAGGAACCCTAGGGGAGGGAGTGAAAATGGAGGGAGCAAGAGACTGGAGAGATGGAGACAAGACAGTACTCTGATCAAGTCTCAGGTTATTAGACAGGTCAATATGGCTTAAGTAGGGTAAAAGGGTCAGGGGGCAGGGGAGATAAATCTTCGGCTGGGGCTCATTTGACCACAGGCATGGACATATGGTTTACAAGAAAATAGATGTAAAGAAACAGAAACCTGGGGCTGGAGAGATGGCTCAGAGGTTAAGAGCACCGACTGCTCTTCCAGAGGTCCTGAGTTCAACTCCCAGCAACCACATGGTGGCTCACAAACATGCGTTATGAGATCTGGTGCCCTCTTCTGGTATGCAGATATACATGGAAACAGAATGTTGTATACATAATGAATAAATAAAAATCTTTAAAAAAAAAAAAAAGAAAGAAAGAAATAGAAACTTAACTGAGTGTTAGTTCCTAAAGTAATAATAGAATGCATAAAAAAAATAAGATGGCATTATTATGCTATCTTTATTCAGGGTCCTCTACAGATAAATTCATAATGATTAGCCAGGCGATGGTGGCAATTGCCTTTAATCCCAGCACTTGGGAGGCAGAGACAGGCGGATCTCTGTGAGTTAGAGGCCAGCCTGGTCTACAGAGTGAGTTCCAAGACAGGCTCCAAAGCTACACAGAAACCCTTTCTCAAAGGAAAAAAAAAATTCATAATGATTTCATTGTTTTGCAGGTTTTAAACTTGATACATCTTAATTCTTTAGCTCATTCTAAAACAGTCGATTAAAGCATCTTATGTCTAAAGGCTTTGTCAGGCACATTTTCGCTCTCTTTAGCATGGCTTTTTTACATGGTATTATGGAGGTATCCCACTAATTTTCAGGCATCCTCATGAGGAGCTGTGTGAGTGCTGTGTTTACTCTTCAAATTGTTTCTCTCCTCTCCTGGAACTGTCTTTTGTACAAGCATGCCTGAAGCACACTCACTCCCACATCTGAAATGTTTCCCTTTGCTCAGTCACCTTCCCATTCTGTGAACACACACACACACACACACACACACACACACACACACGTACACACGTACACAGGTGCACATGCCAGCACACACACACAGACACACACACACACACACACCACACACACACACATACACACAGAGTCACAGGTACACACATGCCTGCACACACACACTGCATACACTACCTTTTCTCACCCCCATCCCCAGACTCTACCCAAGCCTGCAGGCAGTAACAAGGTGCCTGTACCTGGCTGTTTAGCTCTGCAGGAGACATCATCCAGGGAGGGTGGTGCTGTGCTCCAGATGCTCCTTCTGACGGCCACTATACTCTAGGCCTCAAACCATTCTTTAACATTTGTTTTTCCTATACGATTATTGAGGGAAAACTAAGGAATAAGAATCATAGAGCATCTTTTCTACTGCATCTGTTTAATTATGTAGTTGATGAAACAGAGACACTGACTACTTCAGCTGGGCACTGGGTTGGGTGAAAAGAAATGGACCTCCAAGGTGGTAGAGAGGCCACTTGAATGTTCTCTGGGAAGCCTATTGCTAAAGAACTGGAGTGCTGTGGTCTAGCCAGTAGAAGGATTAGGCAGAGAGATGAGGAGTTAGCTTTGAGAGCATGGGGTACTACAACCCAGTGTTAAAATTAAAGGCAGAAGTTAGGTTCTGCCAGGCTAGAATCAACAAGCAGTCTTGACTCTTTCCTCGGTGTGTCTCTGTCATGCTGTGTGCTCCCATGTTTGCTCCCTTGCTGCGTTGTGCTCCATTGTGTCCTCACCTGACATGTGCAGGGTAAAGAGCTAATGCAGCCAGCAGGGTCTCCAGTGAGCACGGTTGAAGGCTTAGAAGAATCTTCACATTCTTCATAATTGTTTCATCTCTAAAGCCTAGTGACGGGTGTGGTCTGATTAAAATTTATTTTTTTGCAGTACTTAAAAGAAGCTGCCATAACTGTAACACGACTCAGCAAGAGTAGGCAGCCTCTTGAAGCAGGCTTGTTAGAAGTAAAGATCTAGGGGGCTGGAGAGATGGCTCAGTGGTTATGAACACTGGCTGCTCTTCTAGAGGACTTGGGTTCAATTCCAAGCACTCATATGGCAGCTCATAGAACTGTCTACAATTCCAGTTCCAGGGGATCTGACACCCTCACACCAATGCACATAAAATAAAGTTAAATGAATTATTTTTTTAAAAAGTAAAGTTCTGATTGAAAATTTGGGTTAGCAGTGGAGCATTTTAAGATATGTATTTGGGACTGTTGGTTGGTTTGTTTTATTTTTCTTTGCAGTCCTGGGGATGGAGCTAGGGCCTGCCTGACTTGGTCTAGGCATGGGTTTGGCCAGTAACCTCCATCCCCAGCCACCTGTGTGCTGTACTGGAGGGACGGTAAAGAGCTTATCTCTGGCTTTGGTCTAGGTCCTGGTTAGGTAGCAATGGGAAAAGTGCTGTTAAAAAGCTGAAGAACAGTTTGCCACTTAGGAAGGAGCTGGATCGTCTGAAGAGTGAGCTGTCTGAGCTTCTGCAGCTTTCAGATATCAGGTAATGAAAAAGTCTCCTATGTATCTTAGTTACTGTCATATTCCTGTAAAGAGACACCATGACCAAGGCAATCTACAAAAGAAAACATCTAAGTGGGGGCTTGCTTACAAGTTTCAGAGGGTGAGTGATGACCATCGTGGCGGGGAGCATGGCAGACAGATAGCCACGGTGCTGGAGCAGTAGCTGAGAGCTTAGATGTTGAGACAACCATGAGGTAGAGAAACGGGGGCTCCCTAGGAATGGCTTGGGCTTTTTAACCCTCAAAGCCTTTCCCCAGTGTCACATCTCCTCCAACAAAACCACACCTCCTAATCTTTCTCAAATAATTCCACCAACTAGTGAGCAACCATTCAAAGGTAAGCCTGTGGAGGCCACTCTCACTCAGATCTCCCCACTAGTGCACACATTCAAATAATAAAGTGCCTGCTTAGCACACGCTGAGCCCTGGGTTTCATCCCCAGTACCACAGAAACTGGGTATGTCACATCATTAAGGAGGTAGAGACAGAATGATCAGATGGACCTCATCTTTGGCTATAGAACAAGTTCCAGAGTAGCCTAGAACTAATGAGACCTTGTCTCAAAAATATTTTTTTTTAATTAAAAAAGCAGTAGCTGGGTGTTGGTGGCGCATGCCTTTAATCCCAGCACTCAGGAGGCAGAGGCAGGCAGATCTGTGTGAGTTGGAGGCCAGCCTGGTGAGTGAGTGCCAGGATAAGCTCCAAAGCTATACAGAGAAACTTTGTCTCTGAAAAACCAGAAAGAGAGAGAGAGAGAGAGAGAGAGAGAGAACAATAGGAATAATAGGAATGATTTTTTAAAAATTTAATGGCTCAGTCATTAAAGGCTAGACTCAACAACCAAAAACAAAGACAAAAACATCCACATGAGCTCTGTCACATGGCGTCTTTCTCTCTAGTACCACTTCTTAAATTACAGTTGTCATGTGTTTTTGTTTAAAACATAGAAGTAAGATTAAAGTTCTTATATTTTGGGCATAATAGTTGAACTTTCTTATTACATTTATTTGTGTGTGTGTATGTGTGTGTACATGCCACAGCACATGTATGAAGAACGGAGGACAACCTGCAGAGTCAGTTCCCTTCTTCCACTGGGTGTATGTATGGTGTGCCTGTATAATGCTGAGGACTGAGCCCAGATACTTGCTCAAAATGTATGCTCTAGCATCAAGCTCTCCACCAAACCCCATCCTCTTACTTTAAAATAGAAACAATATATTTGCTTTTTTTTAAATCTTTGCATACATTAACATGGTAACAATTCTTTTACCCAGTGTCTTAGTCACTGTTTTATTGCTGTGAAGAGACACCATGACCCATGAAGCTCTTTTTTGTTCTCCAAGCAGGGTTTGTCTGTGTAGCCCAGGCTGTCCTGGAACTCACTCTGTAGATCAAGATGGCCTCAAACTCAGAGATCTCCCTGGCTCTGCCTCCCATGTGCTATGGTATAAACACACACACACAAACAGAGAGAGAGAGAGAGAGAGAGAGAGAGAGAGAGAGAGAGAGAGAGAGAGAGAGAGAGAGAACAATAGGAATAATAGGAATGATTTTTTAAAAATTTAAGAGAGACAATAGCCATCTTAAAAACATAAGATCATTGGAAACATGATGTCTGTCTGCTTCAGGAAGAGACTGTTGACCTTCTCAAGAATCAGGCAGTTGGGGGCAGTTGGGGTGAGAGCCTGTTCATCCTCCATGGTGCTACTGTGTGATATTTTGTTTATGATCTAACAAATAAAGCTTGCCTGAAGATCAGAGTGCAAAGCTAGCCATACTAGTTAGCCATAGAAGCCAGGCAGTGGGGCACACACCTTTAATCCCAGCACTTGGGAGAAAGAGGCAGATGGATCTGTGTGTTTAAGGCTACCCTGGGCTACATGAGATTGAATCTGTCTAAAAGAGAAACAGCTCACACAAAGGAGATCCCAGCACTAGGGCAGTAGAGACAGGAGTGATATGACTGTGTGGAGGGAGGAATATAAGGCGGGAAGAGACGAGAGAGATGCAGTCTGAGAATTCATAGAGACGAGGCAGTCTTGAGTCAGCAGCCTGAAGCATGCCATCTGAGGCAGTCAGTCTGAGGACAGGATGACCCCTTTGGTTTGAGCATTGGTAGAGATAAGAACTCTAGTGGCTGGCCTCTTTGCTTCTCTGGTCTTTCAGCATATACCCCAATCGCTGACTCCAAGTTTTTATCATTAAGGTCAATTAGAATTGGTGCTACCCTGCTGTTAATGTAGCTGTCTCTGTTGACCTAGGTGGCAGAGGGGCTGGGGTGTTGCCCACCGCTGCAGCCAGCTGCACAGTCTTAGCCGCCTAGCACAGCAGAGTTTGGAGCCACTTCAGAATGCAAAGGGTAACTATTGTCCAATCATTTGTTTGTTTGTTTGTTGTTTTATGTAGACAGGGTTTCTCTGTGTAGACTTAGCTGTCCTGGAACTCACTCTGTAGACCAGGCTGGCCTCAAACTCAGAGAGACCTTGCCGCCTCTATCTCCCAAGTGATGGGATTAAAGGTGTACACTGCCACCACCCAACTATCCAAACAGAACATCTGTAGTACAAATCAATAAATTGTAGCACAAAACTAAGAGACTTTATCAGAGTTAGACATTTAAATTTCTGGGTGGTGGTGGTGTACGCCTTTAATCCCAACACCCAGGAAGCAGAGGCAGGCAGATTTCTGTAAATTTGAGGACAGCCAGGGCTACACAGAGGAACCCCATCTCAGAAAAAAAGTCAAGTAAAATAAATGTTTAAATCTGCTTTGAATAAAGCAGAAACATAATATATGCTTCTAGGATCTACTAGATATAATTCTGAGTATATTCTCTAAGTGTAAGTAATTATTTGCAGTGTTATAAGAACGAATCCTCAACAGGCGTTGGTGACACATGCCTTTAATCCCAGCACTCAGGAGGCAGAGGCAGGCGGATCTCTATGAGTTCGAGGCTAGCCTGGTCTCCAGAATGAGTGCCAGGATAGGCTCCAGAGCTACACAGAGAAACCCTGTCTCGAAAAAACCAAAGAAAAAAAAAAAGAACGAATCCTTTGGGCCATGACCAAGGGTTTGTGTTTTATCATCAGGATGCACCATCGTATTCACAGATCGCTCCGGGATGAGTGCACTGGGCCACGTGATGCTGGGGACCATGGATGTCCACCATCACTGGACAAGAGTAAGGATGAGCCAGAAGCGAGCAGACAGCTCTGACTGGCCTGCACATACTTTCATTTAAACAGCACTATTACGTCAGCAAACTGCAACACTAGAAAGCATAGCTCCAGTTTTCCAACCCAATAATACCACATAACTAGTACTTTGAAGTGAAGATAGCTCTCATTTACGTTTATTTATTTTGTGTGTATGTCTGCCTGTATGTGTGCAGAAGTCAGAGGACAAACTGCAGTTGTCTTTTTCTACACTGGGTCTAGGGATTGAGTTCAGCTCATTACACTTGAGCAGTGCCTTTGCTCGGCATCTGTCTCATGGGCCCTTGTGTTAGTTTTAAACTCATGCAAATAAAGCTGATGTGAACATTTTTATTGTTAAATTTTTAATTTTATTTACATGTGTTTTGTCTGCATGTATGTAGGTCTATGTATCACGAGTGTGCCTAGTTCCTGAGGAGGTCAGAATAGGGCATAGGATTCCCTGAAGGTGGAGTTGTGAGACACGTGTGTGGTGGGAATCTGGAACCCAGCTCCTTTGCAAGAACAAGTGCTGTCTCTCCAGCCCCTGATATGAACATTTTTGTTTAGCATGTTTAGTTTTTTTGTTTGGATTTTTTTTTGTCTCATTATGTAGCCCTGGCTGGACTAGAACTCAATATATAAATCAAACCATACTGAAACTTGTAGCAGTCCTCCTGCCTCAGCCTCCAATGTCACTATGCCTGGTTGATACAAACATGGGAATTGCATTTTTCATCTCATGGGTAAAATCCTCGATAGAATTGCTGGATCCTATCCTGTCAAAAGATAGTCATATTTAATTATGAGACTAGTAGGTGTGTGGTGATGTCTCACCTTAAGTTTAGTTTCCATTAAATAATAAATGACGGTGATCATCTTTTCATATTTTTATTTGCTATCTTCATGTGATCTGAGGTGAAAGATCTATTCAAATGCAATACTGGAGGGACTGGAGAAGTGGCTCAATGGTTAAGGGCACTGGCTGCACTTCTAGAGGGTCCGGATGAGTTTGAATCCCAGCACCCACATGTCAGTTCACAGCCATCTGTTACTCCAGTCCCAGGGTTTCCAGTGCTACCAGACACTAATGTGGTGTAGAGATACACATGCAGACAAAACACCCAGACACATAAAATAGATCTTTAGCCAGGCTTAGTGGCACACAGCTTTAATCCCAGATCTCAGGAGACTAAGGCAGGAGGATCTCTGAGTTCAAGGCCAGCCTGGTCTATAGAGTGAGTTCGGAGCAACTCACAGAGGGCTACACAGAGAAACGCTGTCTTAGAAAACCTAATTATTATTATTTATTTATTGTTATTATTTCAAGCCACATTTTTAAAAGATTTTATTTATTTGTTATTTATTATTTATTATGTATTATGTATAACATTCTGCTTCCATGTATATCTGCACCCCAGAAGAGGGCACCAGATCTCATTAATAGATGGTGGTGAGCCACTATGTGGTTGCTGGGAATTGAACTTAGGACCTCTGGAAGAGTAGCCAGCACTCTTAACCTCTGAGCCATCTCTCCAGCCCTCAAGCCACATTTTTAATAGGTATTTTGTATCTAAAGTGTGTAAGAACTCTTAACACTCAGCAGCTCAAAAAAAAAAAAAAAAATGCCCAATCCAAATAGAAAATGTGCCAAAGACCTCACTGAAGAGAGTGTACAGATGGCAAGTGTTCTGAGTGCCTGCAGCATGTAAGATGCTGGGTTCTAGCCCCACGCTGGGCAGAACTGAGGAGTGGGAATAATGGCACCACCAAGTGATGATGAGGACCTAGAGAACTGATTCGCTCCTGACCGCTGACAGGAGTCCAGGTGTGCATATCTCTGCACAAGGAGCACAGCATCTTAAACTGAACATCCTGGCAGGTGGCCCAGCAGTTCACTCCTGGGCATTTATAGTAGAAAATGAAAAGTTGTCTTCATGTAGAAATCTATGCACAAACATTCATAATAGCCGAGAAAGGAGGAAGTCATACCGTACTTTAGTGTAAGTACTGCTCAGAAATGGGCATGAGCCACTGATGCATGCTGCAGCCATGACTGGGAAAGTCGGTATCTGAAGGTTACATTCTGTACAGTCCCATGCCTGTACCATTCTTGAGGCATCAAAATAACAGGAGAGCAGAGCAGTGCTGTGGTTGCCTAGACATAGGGATCGGCATTGGGTCGTGTGGCAGATCCTGTGGTAGAGCTCTGTTGAGTGCTGAATGGTGACCTCACATGGGTCTGCACATGTGAGAAGACAGTATAAAACAAAACACAAAGGTTAACAGAGTCCAGATGAAATTAAGCAAGTGTGTCTGCACTCACATTCAGAGACCTGTACAGTCTTACTATTACAGAAACCCAGCACACACTATATGAACCCTCAGTTCTCAAAGATCCTGAATTTACTTAGCACTGTGTTAAGTAACTCAAGAAGAGGGGAATCAGGGAGTAGGTTTTTTTTTTTTTTAATGTAGTAAGTAGATGATGGGTGGTTTATAGAAACTTTAGTTATTACCTTCATTATAGACTACCTGATACCTTCTAGTCCTCTTTTTTTTGTTCTTTGCTTGTTTTTATGTAGCCCTGGCTGTTGTGGAACCCTGTAGTCCGGGCTGGCCTCAAACTCACAGAGAATCCCCTGCCTCTGCCTCTGCCTCTGCCTAAGTGCTGGGGTTAAAGGCCTGCACCACCACAGCCTGGCAAAAGCCTTCTAGTCATCTTAACATCATTAAGATCCCAACTTTCTACAGAAAGCCAAAGTCCTTCAAGTCCTCCTTGGCCCTGGCTCTTCCCTCTTTCCTCTCACCAACACACAGGCCATGCACCAGCCACACTCAGCTTCCTGGCCTTTTCCCAAAGCATCCCACATTCATCTACTACTTCTAAACCCTATTACACTTTTTGTCAAATCACAGGTCTTGGCCTCCATTGTTTAAACCTGGCTCTGACCTGTCAACCTCATGTGGCACCTGAGCTGACATGGTCTTGCTTTATTTTGTTGCCTGCGATTGTGAGCTCTGGCAAACACAGACAAACCCTTATACCCAGCATGTGCACTTCATTGCTTACATACACAGTAGGTGCTCAATAATGCACTCTGTGCTCGTCAATCAGATTTGAAGTTAGTTGGCTGAAAGTAAACTTGAAGGAATACTTAAGAGTTGGAATATACAAGTGTACATTGAATCATCACGACCCAGCTTAAGATTCCTGTGAGTCTTTAAATGTGAGCAGCACCTAGGCTTGATCTTCCCTGGGGCTTTTCTTGTTCTGTGGCCGAGGCTGCTCTTCTCACTTCCCATCCAAACCCTAGACTGATAGTTTGTTTTGAATATTAGTACTTCCAGGATTATATTGTCTTTTTTACTGTATTTTCCTTGAATAATCCATCTACAAAAATAATTTTTTAAAGATTTTTTTGTTATGTATACAATTTTCTGCTTCCATGTATATCTGCACACCAAAAGAGGGCACCAGATCTCATAACGGATGGTTGTGAGCCACCATGTGGTTGCTGGGAATTGAACTCAGGTCCCCTGGAAGAGCAGTTGGTGCTCTTAACCTCTGAGCCATCTCTCCAGCCCTTACAAAAATAATTTTCAAAATGTTCTCATTAGCTGGACTCCTAAAGTTATAGTAACATAAAATTAAATGTCTTTTCTTTCAATATAGCTCTTTGAAAGCTTGCCAAATTATTTTGATCTTCAGAGGAGGATGTCAGTCTTAGAAGACCAGATAAGCAGTCTTCTAGGGGGCATCCAAGTGGTTTATATCGAAGAGCTACAGCCAGAATTCACAATTGATGAGTACTACTCCCTCCTCAATGTGTTCTATAATCAGCTGCTGAAAAGTAGGGTACCGTCCCACCCTCAAGGTCTGAGCGGCTTGCAGATGATCCTCAGCAGGTAAACATCTGGAACTGGATCGATGGATGGATGGATGAATGGATGGATGGACGGACGGATGGATGTGTTTCAGGACAATGACCTGATTTTTTGTTTCATAGCATGGTTCTTGTAAATTTAATAGTAATATAATAATGAAAGAAATGAGTGTCTGGAAGAATGGTTCAGTAGTTAAGAATGGATGCTCCTTTGGCAGAGGATTCCAATTCAGTTCCCAGGGCCATGTCTGGCAGCTCATAACCACCTGTGATGCCAGCTCCAGCCCACCTCAGGCACTGCACTCACTTGCAAAGACAGACAGAGACATTATATATGTGTTCAAATGATTTTTTACAATGGAGGCCATGCATATGGTACACACCTTTAATCCCAGTACTCAAGGCAGAAGAAGAGACTCACAGCCAGCCTCAGCTGAACAATGCAACCCCTTATCAAAAACAAAACAAAGAATGTCACTACTTGTGAAAAGAATTGTATTTACAGCCCTGTTCTGCATATGTCAAAAGCCAAGCTGAATGGCTGAAGAGTGGATCTCTACAACAATCTTTGAAAACATAGCCACTGATCAGGGAAGTAAATCACTCAATCATGATGTAAAGTCAGTAGGTAGCGTGCACTCACACACACGTGTGTGTGTGTGTGTGTGTGTGTGTGTGTGTGTGTGTGTGTACTCGCTACCTGCATTATCCTATGTGGTTAAATGCAATCTCAAGTATTCACAGACTTACCTTGAAGCTAGTCCCTGCCATGTCACAGACAACAGCATGTCATCATCGTTGTTGCTGTAATTTAATATGGATTTTCTGATGACTATTCTTTAGTCACTTGAGATAAAAAAAAAAGCATTGTCTGTGGAAGTGGTGATGTTTCCCTTAATACACACTTTGTTTCAGTGACAGGTATGAGCCAACCTTGCATGAACTTGGACATTTTAACATCCCAGCCCTCTCAGATCCAGCAGGCCTCCAGTCATTTATGAGAGCCAAAGCTCGGCAGGCAAGAGAGAACATGACCAGAAGGGAGGAGTAAGTGCTGTCCACTTCCAGGATGTTTGAGGGCATGACTTTCAGACAGATAATAGAATGCATTGTCTGCATTTCAGTTGTTTTATTCATGCATGGCTGTTTTTCTCTTGGTATCAGCAGGGACCAAAGAGGGCATTGGAACCCCTGAAGGTGGAGTTACAGGCAGTTGTGAGCCACCATGTAGGTGCTGACATTTGAACTTGCATCTCTGTGAGAATCACAAGTGCTCAAGACTGCTGAGCCATCTCTCTAGCCCTGTTATATTTAAACTTTAAAGTGTAACCAGTTCAAAACTAGTCCTGTTTCTGTGTTGTTTATAACTTGGAATCACTTGACAGCCAGTGGTTCCTCATCACAGATTTGAAGCTGTAGAGTCCCTTGTAGAGGAGAAAGGGTAGGAATGGGTCCACATAAAGGAATGGACAGACAGGTGGACAGGACAGCAGGTTCAGATGGTGAGCAGGAAGGGAGAAACAGCTCGGGAGCAGGGTACAGCCTGATCTCAACATCCTAATAAGGATTTATACTCGTAGTTTTTTCTTCACTTAGTCACTATTAGTGTCTAGGGGAGGTGTATGCAAGCTTTTTAAACTATGTACTATTAGACTGGAGAGACGGTTCAGCTGTTAAGAGCACTGATTGCTCTTCCACAGGACACAGGTTCGATTTCCAGCACCCACATTGTACCTCATGACCATTTGTAACTCCAGTTCTGGGAATCCAACACCCTATTCTGGTTTCCAAGGGCAATGGGCACACAGGTGATGCACAGACATCCATGCAGACAAAACGTCCATACACATTAAAAATAATAAATGTTTGGAAATTAGGAATAAAGTGTGTATCATTTTTACTTCACTAATGCTAAAAAGATTAAGTACTTTTATAGTTTTATGTAGAAATAAATCAACCAGTACTGGGCACAGGATAACTCTTGGCATGTCTTTTCCCCATGACTGCCTTGTATGGGCACTATGCAATCACCCCAACATTTAAGAATATATATTTTATCTTATTTAATAATAGCTTATGACAATTTTTTTTATTTAATAGGTTAAAAGTTATTGAAAACGAGTTGATTCAGGCTTCAACAAAGAAGTTTTCCCTGGAGAAGTTATATAAAGAGCCCAGCATTTCTAGTAGACAAATGGTGGACTGTTGTAAGAGACTTCTAGGACAGTCCCTGCCTTATCTACATGGGATGCGCCTCTGTGTGTCACATTTTTATTCTGTTATGCAAGATGGAGACCTGTGCATCCCCTGGGACTGGAAGAAAGGAGAAGCTACCAAGTAACACAGATAGCTGTTTTACTTTCTGGAGAAATGAGAAACTGTTGAATTTATTTAAATTCAGTTTGATATATTATTAGTGTTCACAGGTTAGAACACAGTTCCTGACTGCTGCTCTAAAAGTGGAGTGAGCCTTCCTTTGTGGTAATTTTATGCTAAGAAACTTATCTTTCAAAGGTTTTATCCCCTAGTTTTATGATGCTGATGGCTAGGCAAAAAGATCCTTAGAAAGAAAACTATTTTAAAGATATGTAATAGAGAGTTTGGTAAGTCATATATTTTTATATGAGTGGATGTGTGTGTATAAAAATTGACCTCATTCAGTATAGCTCTTTAGTACTAGAACTCATTTTTACATCCAACACAGTTCAATGTATGTCTTCATAGTTACATCTCATAGACACACACACTTTGTAGCCAGTAATGGACAGTTATGTTCAAAACAGATGATTGATGAGTAGCAAAAATTAAATAACCACGTTTTGTTTGAGAAAGTTCTGTTTTTGTTTTTTGTTTTGTTCTGTTTTTGTTTTTGTTTTTGTTTTTCAAGACAGGGTTTCTCTGTGTAGCCCTTGCTGTCCTGGCACTCACTCAGTAGACCAGGCTGGAACTCACAGAGATCCGCCTGCTTCTGCCTCCCGAGTACTGGAACTAAAGGCATGTGCCACCACCACCCATTGAGAAAGATTTTTTAAAACCCTATTAAACATATGCTATCAACACTGTTTGATACTAGTTTATTTAAATACATGATTTCTTCTACCAATCAAAATATCTGTAGAGCATGTATTTGGTAGACAGAGGCCCTGGGTTCCATCCCTAGTACCAAGAATGAGTCAGATGTATTATTGTCATTAATCCAGAAGCTCCTCCTAAAAGCTGTCAGCACTGGCCCAGGTACAGCCTGCAGCCTCCTGTGATCTCTGATGTCTCCCACATAGTGGGAGGCCACTGTCTATTCAGAGCAGACACACACACACACACAAACACACACACACACACACACACACACACACACACTCTCTCTCTCTCTCTCTCTCTCTCTCTCTCTGTCTCTGTGCCCTTCTCCCCTGAGGAAATCCTGAGTTTTTCCCACGGTGCATCAGAACAAAGGAGACATTACAGTCAGTTTTTCATGTTTTGGACTTTTATAAAACATTAGTTATTTAAACAGTTCAATTGTATGTTCAAAATAAGAACTGAATTGTAAAAGGAGTATGTGTGCCATTATTGTTTTGACCCATGCTAATTAGACAAATGTTGCTATAAATACTATCCAAAATATTCTACATAAGAAAGAGTCCTCAAGTTGGGTTTAGTGGTGCACGCCTTTAATCCCAGCACTCAGGAGGCAGAGGCAGGTGGATCCCTGTGAGTTCAAGGACAGCCTGGTCTACAAAACAAGTTCCAGGACAGCCAGAGCTGTTACATAAAGAAACCCTGTCTCAGGGTGGGGGAGGAGGAAGAGTTCACAAAGATAGGATAGTTTATTGGAAAATTGATTATGCCACTTGTAACATCAGCTAACACAGAATCTTCTGTGATGTGTGTTGAACTGGATTTGTCTCCAAACTAATTGTTACATAATAAAAAAATACCTTGTTGACCATATAGCTGCTTTTCTTGTTTTCTGGTTGTTAAAGTTTGACAACTAGTAGTTGTAAGAAATTGTTAGAAGTGATCTTTTGGACTTCATCTCAGAATATTTGTGCTTCCCCCCACCACAGAGAGAGCAGGTGAAGCCTCTGGTGTGAAATGGATCCAAAGAGACCTGCACTCTGAGCACAGCTGAGCTGCCCCCACAAGGAGAGCTGGGGCTAGGTCCCTAACTACCAGACTGTCTGTTCCCAGCATGGGCTGCCAAAGCCCTTCTCCCTCCCCTCTGGAAAGGCCTCTACCCCTAAGGAGCCTCTGAGTTGATGAGTGACAGGAAGGCTTTGAGAAGTGGGCACATGAGATGAAGGGCCAAGGGCAGTTCACTACTGGAGCCTAAACACTGGGCACATAGCAGCCAGAGGTTCTTCACTGAGGGCAGTGTAGGCCAGGTGGTGGTGGTGGTGGGTGTGGGTGTGCTCTCTATGGGTACCTGGAAGCACACTGGAGGAGGGACAGCCTGTGCTTCTCAGCATCTCAGGGTGCAGTCACTTGATGGCATCAAGGGCAGACCTCCCCAGTCTCAAGCCCAAAGTACACAGCCCTATCCTGACTATCAGTCAATTTCCTTAGGCTCACTTCACACCAAAATCCCACCTCTGCAGGGACCCTGCTTGCCCACAGCCTGGCAGGATCTGGTCTTGTCTACACCACCTTCACCCTGAGGGTTGCTCCCTGCCTACCTAATAACTGTGGGCGGGCTGAAATTTCTCTGCCATCCAGTTTTGCCCAATGGTACAAACACCACCCTTTTTGGTGTAGTGCTGGAGACTGAACTTGGGAACTTGTGCCTGTTAGGGCAAGTGTTCTACTGAGCTACATCTCCAGCCAAAACACCCTTTTATTTCCTGTGTGTGTAAAAGTATGTACAGATCAGAGGACAACTTTTAAGAGCTGATTGTCTCTATCATAGGGATCCAACTCAAGAGCGGGCTCTGTGGCAGGTGTCTTTACCAGCAGAGCCATCTTGCTAGTCCTAGAAACTCTTTCATAGCTATTAAGGAGTTACATGTTTTTATTGTGGGGACAGATGACCCTCTCAAGCAGTCAGTGTTACAGTGTTCCTCTTGAGTCTGGCCTTTTATGTAAACCACTGTGACTAGGGGCTCCAAATGGTCATAGCCTAACTGTTAAGGGATGGGAATCCTGCTTTTATTTTTAGCCTTTTATCTCTACATAAACTATTCATTTCCTTTGGAGAAGTGTTGTTTTTCTTTGTTGGCATCTTGTAAAACACAGCTGCATCCAATCAAGACTCAAGAAAACAGGTTCCTCATCTCCCCAAAGCCCTTAATGTCTTCACAGGCCTATGTACAGATTTGAGCATGCCTCCAGTGTCCTTGTTAGCGAACCTGACCCTGTTCCCAGCTGGGCATTATTGCACCTGCCTGTCCACCTCCTCATGAGTCAGAGGAAAGAGAGTAGAAAGATCTGACCATCCCAGAAGACCTTTCCCTGTTTTTTTTTTTTGTTGTTGTTGTTGTTGTTGTTGTTGGGATTAAAGGCGTGTGCAACCAACGCCCAGCTTTTTTTGTTTTTTTGTTTCCCTGGTTTTATAAAGGTTATATTTGCAGCCAACTGAAACCATCCTGGGCCAGTAGGGATGAGTGATACAGGGTGAAGTTTCTCAGCTTGCTGCCAGAAAGTTGGCTGGGATCCTTTTTGCTCTTCCAGTGCTGGTTGGTAGCAGCCTTTGTAACCCTCAGCTGCTAGCAGCAAGCAGTGGCTGTCAGGAGCCAGCCCTGGTTCAATATAAAAGTCCTCCTTACAAGAGGCCTGGCGACCTCCATGCTAAACCGCCAATTAGTCAAGCACCCCACCCCTTAGGTTCCGGGACACCTACCCTGACCTGAGAGCAATTACGATCAATTCTCCCCCACTTCCTCTCTTTTTACTTCCTCCTTTCTCTGTAAAAACCCCTTCTTTATAATCAATAAAATTAGACCTTGACAAGGACACTGCTTGGTCTCGCTTTTCTTTCCTGCCCATTTATTTTCAGGCTTAGTCCACCTTGGACCCACGAATTACTGGAGCCCCGTGGGCCGGGGCAGGTGGCACCCAAATGTGTGGCCCAAGGTATGGACTCTTCGCCGAACAGAGACCCACCCCCCAAGGAAAACCTCGGAAGTGCACGCCGAGAAGCAAAGTCTCGCTCGCCGAATTGCGACGGACGTTGGTCTGGGAATGTCCTCACCGCTCATGAGTGACTGATTCCCTGGTAAGTCCCCCTCATTCTGTTCCATAATAATGGGCCAAAAGTTGTCTAAGGAAGTCAAATTCATTAGGGATTTTTAAGACTTCCTTTTGGGAAAGGGGAGTTTGAGTAAAATGTAAGGACTTGATTCAGTTTTTTGCCTTTTTTATCAAGAACATGTCCATGGGTCATTTTAGAAGGCCCAGACATTCATCCCCTAACTTGGAAAAAGGTTGGAGAGGATCTTAATAGATTGCTCAAAGAAAAGGGACCTGAGGCAGTTCCCTTACAGACTTTTAGTTATTGGAATCTTATTAATGATATCCTTACTAACTCCCCTGGGTCTGCTCACCTTACTTCTGCAACATACACCATCCTCCTCTGACCAAGACCCCTCCTCCACTCATACAACTAGGGAGGAGGAAAACTCAGAAGATAAAATTAATGAGAGGGATAGGGATGACATTACTCTCCTGCCGGAGCCCTACCTTGGGGTTAACCCCCGAGGTCTGCTCCCTGGACAACTTTGGCAAATGGATGTCACCCACTTCTCCCAGTTTGGGAAATGAAAATACATACATCTGACTATTGACACTTATAGTGGTTTCATTTACGCCACACTCCAGGAGGGCAAGGCCACCAAAAATGTCATAAATCATGTTCTTTCCTGCCTAACTGCCTTACCCCAACCCAAGACTATTAAAACAGATAACAGCCCTGGATATAACAGTCTAGCCTTCAAACAATTTTGTTCTCATTTAAATATCAGCCACATTACTGGTATTCCCTACAACCCCCAGGGCCAGGTGATTGTTGAAAGAGCTCACCAAACACTTAAAAACATGCTGTTTAAACTGTGTTCAGGAGGAGGAGTTCTATACCCCACTAAAGACAATCATTAGAACTTACTCAATCATGCATTGTTTGTGCTAAATTTTCTCACATATGATGCTACAGGAAAATCAGCCTCGGATTGCCTCTGACATCCATCAATGGCTCAAAATTATGCTCAGGCCTTATGGAAAGATCCCCTAACTCATAAGTGGCACGGACCAGATCCAGTCCTCATTTGGGGAAAAGGACATGCATGTATTTTTGATACTCAGGCCAATAATGCTAGATGGTTGGCTGAACACCTTTTAAAACTATATAATCCACCCAGGGAAGCCCCTGAGAAGTCTTCTAATTCTGCTTAATTTTAGATAAAAGATGCTGTCTTTTTGGCTACTTGTGTGTTCTCACCTTCAATTGCTGTTGCCGCTGCAAGCCCCTATCAGATCTACAACTACACCTGGATGATCGTCAACCAAGCTGGTGATATTGCCAACTCCTCCACAACTATTGCGACCACCCCCTCCTATTCCCCCCAGGACCTCCCTCCTCCGCTGACCTTATTCTCTCATTAATTAACCCTACTGTTCAGGCCCCTCATCAAGCCAACCACTCCCTCATAGAGGACTGTTGGGTCTGCTATTCTTCCACCCCTCCCTTTCATGAGGGAATTGCAGGCACTTAACTCCTAACTTGCCTGTTCCTAAGTAGGGGGTTGACTACTTATATTGTCACCTCTACCTTCTTGTCTGAAAGAGACTATTGTGTTTCAGTTCAGCTGCTACCCCGACAATCCTCCTAAAGGACTAGATTTTTTGGGCCTGGAACATCGAACCTCTTGATTTCCTTGGCCTTGGAGATGTCAATGGCAGGATTATCGTGATGCCGAAGGCCAGACGCCGACCCATCTCACCAGCTGTAGCACCCTCCATGACGGGATTAGCGTGAGGCCGTGACCCAGATGCCCACTCCAAGCGCTCTCGAGCTGCTCAACTTATAAAAGGTCCCTGGAGTGCTAGGGGCGGATGCACCTCACGTAGCCTAAGACAGAGGCTCTACCCCTCACTGTCATATAAATGACAATATCATAGACATAGGGTCCCCTGGCTGTGCTCGGTGCCCATCACGTAGCCTAAGACAGACGCTCCATTCTATTATACATAGAAGGAGGAGATGTCAGGAGCCAGCCCTGGTTAGATATAAAAGTCCTCCTTACAAGAGGCCTGGCGACCTCCATGCTAAACCGCCAATTAGTCAAGCACCCCACCCCTTAGTTTCCAGACACCTGCCCTGGCCTGAGAGCAATTAACACCCATTCCTCCCCCACTTCCTCTTTCTTTACTTCCTCCTTTCTCTTTAAAAACCCCTTGTTTATAATCAATAAAATTAGACCTTGACAAGGACACTGCTTGATCTCGATTTTCACCACACTTTTCCTTGTCTGGAGTCTTCATCACAAGAGTACAGGAAGCCTTGTTCAAGAGAAGCCTGGGAGGCTGTTCAAGATGGCTCCGTGGTTAAGAGCTTTAGCTGCTCTTCAGAGAGCACAGGGTTCAATTCCCAGTGCAAGACCCCCAGAGGCTCAGGCCCTCAGGATCTCAGCCCAGGACCGAGGCCACCCCAATCACCATGCAGAGGCAGAAACTTGATGCAAACAGCAAGAGGCTTTATTGTACTTGTTGAACAAGCTAACTCCATGTTAGCTCAGGTCTTTCACCCACCCACCATAGTGGATGGCTAGGAAAGACAATGCAAAGCCACTGCATAGAGATCTTATGGGGTAGCGTAAGGGGAGTGTCTAGGGGTACACACAGGCTCAGGATTGGTGTGCCTCCAGGCTTGGAGGGCTTGCCCTGTGTTGATTGGTTAACCAGTTGTTATGGCCCATAGGCCCTCCCAGGGAGATTGCTGTGCTCTGAGTGTCATTGCTGTGCACTTGTCGGTAAAATACATCCAGAGCCGGAAAGCATAGCGCCACCAGCTAACTTCTGATTGGTTCCTTGCCACGAGGCATCTGACCTCCAAGTGACCAAGGTAAGGTCAGGCAAGCATGTGTTTGGCTGTTATGGCTGCCGAAATGGGGAGCTGGTCCCTTCACCAGCTCTTATGACTGTTTATAGCAGTGACTCCAGTTCCAGAGGATCTAACACCCTCTTCTTGGCTTTGTGAGACCAGGCACAGAGGTACGTGCACGCACGCATGAACACACACACATACACACCTGGTCTACAATGGGAGGCATGGTGAAAGCCTGAGGAGACTGCTGGCTGCCCTAACTCGAACTCTGATCTCCATCCTGGTGCTGAAAGGTCAAACCAGAGCCATCCAAGAGAAAAGGGGCCCAAAACAGCACTCTGTGAGAACCTGACCCCATGACCTGTGCAAAAGGCTTATACCACCACCACCCCTGGAAAATCTGACGGGCAGGAAGGGGAGATAACTACAAACAGTCCCACTAGTAGGGAAGGGGAGACAGATGGCCCTGACTCCATGGCAACCAACCTGAAAAGTTGAGAAACAACTTTTATGGGCACAAATGGTACAAGAGATAAAACCCCTGGAAAGCCCCCAGTCTGCCTGGACTCTGCAGTCAGTCAGCTTCGAACCTGTACCCCTAACCCTATTCTGTGATCTTTGCCTTTATAAAGCCCTCTGCTTATCAGGCTCGAGACGTCCTCCTTCGACTGCTGCGCCAGTCTGCGGGACGAGGTCCCTGCCTAGGCTTGAATTCCAATCAAGAAACGTTGTGCGTTCCTTCGGCAAGTCGGCAAGTGGTGGTCTCCCTAGGGGTCTCGTGGGCCTCCCCGTACTCAGACTACCAGTAGCATCTCAGCCTTGGACCTCGGGTTACCTTTTCAAAGTTCGGTCCCTGGTGAGCTACTTCCTCCAGCTAGACCCCACCTACTGAAGACTCCACTCCCGTCCCACTAGCGCCACCGTGAGAGAGCACTCACGCAAAACGGCCTGTGGAAGGAACCCCGCTGCCCCGCCTCCCCTCCACGGGACTACCCTCCCTGCGGAGACCCCTGCCCCCTGCCACAGCAGCTCGCCTCCTCTCTGGCTCCCCAGAACCACCTGGGCCTTCAGCCTCCCTCCCGCCCCCGCTCCGCCTGCAGCTTTCACTTGCAGGGCTCTGAGGCCTTCCCACACCATGCCACACCCTCCTGAGGCTGTTCCCAACCCTCCTCAGGGCACAGGAGCCGCAGAGCACCCTTTGGCCCCGCCTTCAGGCCCGCGTGGAGCCTACAACGAACTGTGGCTTGGGGACTCGTCCTAGGCTCGGCCGGGAAGACGGTGGGTACAGCTCAGGCACAGGCGTGAGGTGTGTGCAGTGCTACCCACGAGCAGGCTGAACTCAGCGCTTTCCATTGCAAGTGCCGCCCGGGAGAGCGGGAAAGCGGGGGAGCGGGCGAGCGGGGGAGGAGCGGGCGAGCAGGCCCCCTCACCCTGGCCTGTTCTCACCCCACTCAAGCCATGCTTCTTTCCCACAGACGACTCCAGCACCAGAACCGTAGTCTGTAAAAAAAAATCTCAGAAAAGTTTGTATTGGGTCTGAGAGCGTTTTTGCGGGTTCCTGTAAAACCTGTGTTGTGGGGGTGGGGCTGCTCCGCCCGCCCGGTGCTCAGAAGGAAAACCGGTTGCTTCCCGTCAGGACGTTCCTCAGCTTGCAGGGCAGAGCCCAGGGCGGAGAAGGGCTGGCTGGCAGCGTCATAGCAGGTGGAGGCGACGCTCCCAGCGGGTGCTGCTCGGGCAGAGCGCCCCCCGCAGCCTCGGGGTTCGCCGGGGACGCCGGTCTGGGTGCAGCCGCCGCGCGGGCCGCGCTCCCACGCCAGGACCCCGACTTCTTCGCCCTACGCTGCTTCTCTCCGGAAGAAGCTGCGAGTGCGGTCTCCTCCCCTGGAGGGAGGGTGACTTCTCCAGTGATCTCATTTACCCAGACAAAAGAATCTAGAGATTTCCTCTCCTGGGCAAGCTGACTCCTAGACATATCTAAAAGGGAGAAGACAGGGATCAGGAGGCGCAAGTGAAAGCTCTTAATTTTTGAATAGTCTTTTCCAATTTCCTTTTTTTTTTCGAGACAGGGTCTCACTCTACCCTTGGCCATCCTGGAGCTCACTGTGTAGGCCAGGCGGTGGCCCCCCAACTTCAGATCCTCCTGCCTCTTCCTCCCGAATGCTGGGATTAAGGGCCTGTACCACCATGCCCAGATTCCTTTTCTTGATTAATGATTGATGTAGAAGGGTTCTGGGGTGTAAAGGAAAACAAACTGAGCAAGTCAGTAAGCAGTGCTCCTCCATGGCCTCTGCTTCAGTTCACTGACTTCCTCAGGGATAGTGTGTGACCTGAGAGTTGTAAACTGAAATAAATCCTTTCCTCCCCTAGTGACTTTTCCTCATGGTGATTATGGAAGGGACCAGCTCCCCATTTCGGCAGCCATAACAGCTGAACACGTGCCTTTCTGACTTTGCCTTGGTCACTAGAGGTTAGGTGCCTGCCTTGTTAGGTTAGGAACCATCAGAAGTTAGCTGGTGGCGGTATGCTTTATGGCTCTGGGTGTGCTTTACGGACAAGTGCACAGCAATGATGCACAGAGCATAGCAACCACCCTGGGAGGGCCTATGGGCCATAACAACCAGTTGGCCAATCAACACAGGGCAAAACTTCCAAGCCTAGAGGCACACCAGTCCTGAGCCTGTGTGTACCCCTGGACACTCCCCTTACGCTGCCCTACAAGATCTGTATGCAGACGCTTCGAACTGTGTTTGCTAGCCATCCACCATGGCGGGTGGGTGAAAGACTGGAGCTAACATGGGGTTAGCTCGTTAAACTACAATAAAGCCTCATGCAGTTTGCATCAAGCTTTCGCCTCTGCCTGGTGGTTGGAGTGGCCGAGGTCCTGAACTATAAGATCCTGGAAGCCTGAGCTTTCCGGAGGTCTTACAATTATCACAGCACTAGAAACCTAGCTAATGAAGGACCCAGCCCCCTGCTTTGGCAGCCATGACAGGCTGCAGAAAAGGCCCAGCAAGACAAAGACCCCTGACTCAGCAACATGTGCTGAGTCCTTGACCTTGCCCTAGTCACTAGGAAGTCAGATACCTATGGCAAGGAACGAATCTGGCAGACTCTGGATGTGCTTTACTGATAATAGTGGACTGCGGGGCATAGCAACCGCCCTGGGAGGGCCTCTAGGCACAGCAACCTTTCTGCAGCTGCAGCTGACCAATCAACTTGGGACAGGCTCCCCCAGCCCAGAGGTGCACCAATCCTGAGACTGTTGCTGTGCAACTAGCAGACACCCCACGCACACACACACTCCCCTTGCTCTACCCCAATATATGACCTGCCCCACTGCTGTTGGGGATCCCTCCCACTGTGTTGGATGGACATAGGAGCTGAGTTAACTCCGATTAACTAATAAATTAAAAAGACTCTTTGCTTTTGCATCGGATCTCGTCTCTTGGTGGTTTGCAGGAGTTCAGAGTCTGGGCACAACACTAAAACATGTGGTTGTACTAAACAGATTTTTTCATGTTTTGACTCCCAGATTTGCAATATGGTTTAGAGATGGTGTTAAATTTGTGAGACGATGAGAATACATTGCATATAAATACAATCCCATTTTATAGTGGGGAATCTGAGCATCTGCTGACTCAGCGCCTGCTGGCATCCTGGTGCCGATCCCAAGAATAATGAAGGGTAATGTTGTACTAAGCATATATTATCTATTTTCCTGACCCAGGTCAGATATCTATGCATGTATGCCAACAATTTCAATGGAAGGCAAAAGACTAAACTTCTGATATTTTCTACTCAATACTACTATATTCTTTGAACAGGCTGGACACCATTCTTTAAGTTCATTCTATAAGGAAAGCACCAATGATTAAATGACTATTGCTTGAAACTGTTTGGCATGAAAAATAAAGTATGGAGAGAAGACAAAGACAGAGTGGCATGGCCTCTAGGATTCAACAATTCTAAGAGCTGAGGCTGGAGTTGAGGCTAGCCTGGACTACATAGTGAGTTCAAGGCTACCCACCCAGTAAGACACACACACACACACACACACACACACACACACATCAAATTGCTTTTGCTAAGTTTTCTAAGACATGACCACGTATACTTAGCAAAGAGATACATCAAAATTGGCCATACACTTGGAACCTGTGACTACATTCCTTACATGGCAGAAGAGAAGGACTTCCAAGCAGAATTGTGTTTTGGACCTTACAAAGCAGAGATCTCCACGCATTATCTAGGTGACTCAGTCTTATCATTGGAGCCAGAAAGAGCAATTTTTCTCTGATTCAGAGATGCAGAAGCAGGTGTGAGGGAGACTTGTGACAGGGCAAGGCAGAGAGAGGGTCCTCCATTTGCTGAGGCCATTTTAGGTCTTTAAATAGTATCTTATCTCCTAGATGGAAAGTCCTGTGGAAAATTACCCAACTTTGTTCTAGGAACCTGAGGTCAAGATGCCCCATCTAATTATTATTTTGCTTCTGTTAAACTGCCTGCTTGTGCAGAAATGCCTCCAACTAATTGCTTATCTTAGCTTTTTGTTAAACTGCTTGCTTGTGCAAAACTTCCCTCTGCAGCTGCCAAGCAAAAAAACAGGGTGCAGTTTTTGCATAAAAAAAAAAAAAACCTTGCTCTAAATGCTAGGGCTACACTCTGGGTTCCAGATACCTGAGTGTAATCCCAGCCAGCTGGAATCAAGACGTTCAGTTGACTGTAAATTGTCAGACTGGTCTTCTCTGGTGGGCTCCCGATAATAGTCTAAACAAGAGAATGATTTGACTGGCTGGCTGTTCCTAACTTGAATGTGGAAGGGGCTAAGTAGAAACCTGAGACGGAAACATCTATCAATAAATCGAGGGAGGGCCAGGCTTGGTGGCACACAGTTGTGACTCAGCACTTTGAGGTGGAGGCAGGAGGGTCAGGAGTTCAAGACCTATAATAACAGTAAGTCAGTCAGCAATTGTTATAGTAGCAATAGGAAGCTCAGGAATTATGTGAATGCTGCTGCCCCGGGGTAGGGGCAAGGAGGGCTGCAAGTCCAGGAGACTCTGCAGAAGGCTTAGCAATGCTTTGGAATGGACGCAGCAGCGAAGGTCTTCAGAAACTTCAACACGCTCTACTTAATTTGCCACCCAGGCCAACCAGCCGCAGCATGGTGACTCCTGCATTCTTTGTGAGGCTCTGCTTGCACAGGTACAGTTACCCTCCCATCCACTCCACCCTACTCTCCCAGGCCTACAAGGCTGACCCACAGGAATTCCGGGTTTGAAGCTCACCTGCTGGAAGGTTATGGGTAGCCAAGTCTGCAGATAGCTCCCCAGAGTGGGGATATGAGAAGCTGGGTGTTCCTAGCAACCTGGTCTTTGTTATGTAAAGCATTCTATCCTGGCCAGGCCTGATTCCTCCTGGGGAACACACACCACTGCTCTCAGCTTCTCTGGTACTGTTATAGATGTGCCCAACTCCTGGAGGTGACCTTGGCATTGTCTTGACGTTCCGTAGCTCTTGCTTTCTGGCAGTCCGACACATGGCTTCTCTTCCAGAACATAAATGTGTAACCAAGCAATATGGCAGGTTAGCTTACATTCAGCACAGACCCACTCCCCACTCAGCAATTTTCTCCTCTTACTTGCCCAGTGGTGTTCACCAATCGGGTCCATGAGCGGTGCACCTTAATCACAAAACTCTATGCCCCCAGATGTTTGCTACTGGGCGGCATCCATGGCAACTTTGCCCACTGGCAATGGTGGTCATGAGTCAATACTGTTCTAGCACAAAGGTCATTAATAAAATGGGAGGGAAGGCAGAGGGCTTTACTTATCAGCTTTCACTGGCATTTAACATGTAGCCCAAGACAACTTTTCACATTGGAAATCAAAGAAGTCAGACAGTTGGAGATCCTTGCTTTAGAGTCTCACAAGGAAGTTCTGGCATTCAACTTACTCAGGTTAGGTTACATTCGGGTCCCCATTTCAACCATCACACAAAACTGATAGCTACTCTTAGCTTTTCAACAATGGACCCCAGATTTCTTCTTTGATTTCATCAGATACCTTCAGGTATCCAAAGAGCAGGCTGGTCTCCTTTTGTTCCACTTGGGAGTCACAAGAAAGTAGTTACAGCTCTAGCTTTGGAGTCCTTGGGTTCTGAAAGCTTTATGAGATGGACTCATAGACTTGGGAGATGTAAAACCCCAAGCCTTGGAAATTCAACTTACAGCTCCAAGCTCCAGTGCTCAGGTTAGAGAGCTACAGCTTTGGACTCCCACTGTTGGAGGCCCAGCATTTGGCAGCTAGTGAAATCCTCCACTCTATGCAGGAGCTAGTGTTTGGTGGCAAGTCCACAGCTCTGAGCAACAGCTAGTGTTACAGCTCTTGAGCTTCAGTGTTGGGATCCTCTACCTTCAAAGTGTGGCAGCTCCCAGGAACTCTTCCAGCTACAATGTTCTTGAATCTTGGCTACATACCTTCTCCACTTTATACTTGTACCACCCTTCCTTGTTTTCACCACCTTTATTCCTACTTGCTTCTGCTCCAACCGCTCTCTGAGACCCTCAGGTGCCCTCTCAGTCCTGAGTGCTCTTGTCACTATCCCTCTCTGCCGAGGATCCTCTTCAGAAAACAGGCTCAGCCTGCTCTGTCTGCTTAGGAGAAAACCAGACAATTTGGGAGAAGTCTCTTGTGTCCATTGAAACACGTCAGTAATAACCTCAGAGTGCCCCAAATGCATCAGTGTCAGCAAGGGTGAGAATTCTCTACTTCTCTCCCTGTGTCTTCATCTCTCCTGTCTGTCTGTCTGTCTGTCTGTTGTAAAGTCCATACCTGCTTAAATGCTGTCTAGTGACTGTCTGTCCTTGTGTGTGTTTCTAAGAAAGGGTTTTGCACTCTTATTGAGCAGCACAGAGAGAGTGTCACATGGGGAAAGAATGAGAGACTTTACAGAGATCTTTAACAGATTTTACAAGGGCTTAAACTTTACTGACATCACCTGATCCAGAAACACTAAGCAAAAAACAAAACAAAACAAAACAAAAACCAAAAAAAAAAAAAAACCATTAACTTATCAAATAAGATCAATATGGTGTTTCCAGCATTTATGGTAGATTATTTTTCATACAAGGTTGCTTTCAACCTATTAGCATTTATTGACATGATACACACACACACATAGAAACATACATGCAATGCATTCTGGGTCCAAGGTGTAGAATACATAACATCTATATATTAGCTTAAGTTGGTTTTTTTTTTTTTTTTTTTTGGTTTTTCGAGACAGGGCTTCTCTGTGTAGCTTTGGAGCCTATCCTGGCACTCGTTCTGTAGACCAGGCTGGCCTCAAACTCACAGAGATCTGCCTGCCTCTGCCTCCCGAGTGCTGGGATTAAAGGTGTGCACCACCAACGCCCAGCAAGCTTAAATTGTAAAAGATGATTGCCAAGGCAAGTAAATTTGGTTGTTACATGTTATCTTAATTTAAAGGCAGGTTAAATATAGCTGGGTAGTGGTAGGCCCACGCCTTTAATCCCAGCAAGAGAACAGCCAAAGCTACACAGAGAAACCCTGTCTTTTTTTTTTAAGATTTATTTATTATATATACAGTGTTCTGTCTGCATGTATGCTTGCCAACCAGAAGAAGGCAACAGATCTCATAGATGGTTGTGAGCCACCATGTGGTTGCTGGGAATTGAACTCAGGACTTCTTGGAAGAGCAGTCAGTGCTCTTCACCTCTGAACCGTCTCTCCAGCCTGAAACCCTGTCTTGAAAAACCAAAAGAAAGTAAAAATGTAAAAAACAGGTTAAACAGACTGAACACACAGTGGAGAAGCAGTTTTAAGTGACCTTAGGGTGTATTATTAATTTGGCAGTGAGGTACAGCAGAAGTTCTAGTCTCTCGGAATCTAAGGGATGTTTCCACACTACATCAGCACAGCCTTTGACTGGACAACAGCACCAGGGAGCACTACAAAGGACTACCTCCTGGCTCAAGAGTCTTGACTGCACATGTGCCAATCACATCACACCTCCTAAGTTAATGAGGAGGTTCATGCTCTCCTTTTGAGAATAACTTCAAGGCATTGTAAATGTCTAGTCTGAGAAGCTGCCTCCTAAGGTCAATGCAAGGTTATCTAAAGTGGTTGTGACAGGGGCAAGGCCTCCTGGGACAGTTGTGGCTTTTCAGATACTATGGTCCTTACAACTGGAATGTCCTCAGAATGACTGTTAAGCATCCAGAGCAGCCAGGCTGCCAGTGCAGTCCAGCTGATTGACAGATGTTTGGCTGATGACCGTTTCCAGCTCTAGGCTGCCAGATGTAATGGAGAAGTCTCTTCACCACAGAAGAGGGAGAGGAAAAATCTAGGGTTCTTACAGATTTAAAAGCTTATCACAAACTAACATTGAAGACAGCACTGAATACATTTAAATGTGTAGCAGTGGCTGAGTCCTGCACAGCACTGACAGAAGTTGAATACCCGCACGGGTCAAGTTTGGCTTAAGCAACAAGAGAGGGAAGTGACTCCACTATGATGGCTGCAGAGTGAAAGCTCTGCAAAAACCAAGGGTTGCACAGGTGGGACTTCCCTCCTCCCACATGTGCTATGAAGTTAGAGCCCGGACTTCCTTCCCAGCTTGCCCAGCTGTGAGGTAAAGGTCTCCTCATCTGGGTAGTCTGCTGGAGTTGGTATGGGTTTTGGCTTTTCAATCGACACTGGGTGATAACAATTTTGCCATCTTTAGCAGTGTTAACTTAGAAGACCTGATACCTGGCACAGAAATACTCACTTTTTCCCCACCTACGAGGAAAGTTGGACGGCTAACAAACATCATTGTCCCAATTCCCATGTCATCAACGGAACTGTCTATATTTTTCCTAGTTTCAATAGAGGAATTGAAAACAGCTCACAATCTCATAATTTAAGAGATGGTACCGAGACACGGAAAACACTGGTTTTCTTCAGACTGGCACTGCAGTGTACATTGTCACACTGCAGCTGTTTCGCCATTCTGTCACCAACAGCCATTTTTTGTTGCTCCAACTTTAGCAGATAAAAATATTGAAAATTTAAGAGATGAAGTGGACCAGGTGTGGTGGCACTCGCCTTTAATCCCAGCACTCCAGGGACAGGGGCGGTGGATCTCTGGCCTACATAGTGAGTTCCAAGACAGCCAGAGACCCTATCCCATAAAAAGGGGCACCCTCACCCCTGGCAGTGATAGAAGGTAGACCATCTAAGTAGCAGCACTGCGAGTGAGTGGCAGAGCTGGGACTTCTGTATAATAATCATTATATAGATATCAGAGGCCATGGTTAATTTTCTTTTATTTTGACATATTTTAACAGTTGAAAGAATCCAACATAGTATCCTGTTAAATCATAACTTTAGGATGTATTTGTATCAACTTTTAGGAACACAAGTGACCCCCATATATTCATTATGATCTCACCTCATCCCCAAATACAGCGGAGCAGTGGTTAGTACGCATCATTCCATTTCATAATTTTACACTCTTATTTCATGTCTTTTGAATTACGCAAATTATACAGCAGGAATGTTTACACAACAGACACTAGTCTCAATGTTACACATGCATTTCAATACTGTCCCCCCACCACCCTATGAGTTAATACTCCATCCCACTTAAATAATAAAACCCAAACCAAAGTGATGTGCCCACTTTCAATATGCTTTAATATCATTTAAACAGTATATTACATACAGCTTCTGCAACTCAAGTGTAGTTTTCTGAATTGGAGGATATTATTCTTCGTAGTCATTGTTTTGTTCTTGTTGTTTTGAGACAGGATCTTGTTCTTTATCCTCAAGTGCTTTGAACTTTTGGTCCTCTTGCATCAGCATCCCACATTAGGATTACAGATATACCCACACACTGAGTTTCAAATTCTTTCCAAAGTACCAAAGAAATACCTTCTGCTCTGCACTGCCCTGCTGACGGCAAATGGGATTCTGCCAGTCCCACCATCTAAACCCTGCTGCAGTGAGCTGACTCATGCTCATCATTCTTCACATTAATCCCAGAAGGAGAAGCTCACTGGATAAACTCACAATTTCCTAAGACTTTCCAAGCTGCCCGACAATCTGTCTTAATTTCCACTTACAAAGGAGTCTGAATCCCAGTTGTTCCACCCATTTCACACTTGAGTTTTCAAAACCTAACTTTTGTAAGAGATTGCTAAGACAGCCCATATGGCCTCTTCTCTGCACATTGGTCTGACAGTCTTCAGTTAGGACGGAACTGACCACAATGACCAGGTGAACAAGATGTCATCTGACATCCACTCAGCCCATCTGTCTCTCCCCATCCACAACTTCAGTTCCTTAAGCAGTGGAAAGACCATGTCGACTGAAGCCTGAGCTTCCCACACCAAGTTCAAGATTAGACACCGTTGCCAAGACAATCAGAAGCTGTCATCCAGTACTGTACTGCTCAAAACTGTCCGTAGCTGGGCTCCTACCCAGCAATTGTGCACTTTGGAGTATGACTTTCATCCAGTGCTTGACTCAAGCCGTTTTAAAAGTATCCCCAACGCATCTGATCAAGGCTCACTTAAAATAAAGCTCCACCCCTGACCTGGCAGAACTAGATACCTTCAGAGAGGCAATTTTAAAATAAAGACTTTTAACACTCATACTATTTTTTGAATGCATTTCTTACTTAAGAGTAGTTTGCTTCCAGGTATGTCTGTGAACCATGTGTATGTCTGGTGCATGCAGAAGTCAGGACAGAGCAGACACATCTCACTAGACCACAGAGACACACTTTCTAGCCACAGCAAGAGTTACACAGGGAGACCTGGCTGTCACTCTTGGCTACAACTAAGGGCCACGCTATTTGTAAGGCCCCCAGAAGACAATGGTCTCCAGCGTCACTTTTCAACAGGTAGACTGAGGAGTCCCTGAGTTTTTAAAGGTTCCACACCAAGAACCCCCAAAACAGAAGGGGGCCAGACCTTTGCAAAGGTTTTCCCAATGCCTACAAGTTCTCTAGAAATATAACCAGGAACTATACCCCAGCCCCCACTGTCATCAGAGACCCCATTTTAATTAACATGGTTTTTCATATGGCGAGTCAAATTGGAAGACCACCTGAAGGTCTTCCCGCACACTTTGCATTTGAAGGGCCTCTCTCTGGTATGAAATCTCCTGTGGCTAATGAGATGTGAATGCTTGCCAAACGTTTTCTCACAAATATTGCATTTGTGGCAGCCTTTCTTAGTGGGTACTTTCTGGAGTGCAATGAACCTGGAACTCTTGTCAGAAGGGTTCTCACGCCCTTTATGGGGCTTCTTTCCACTCAGCTTTAATTCCTGAGCATTTAATCTTGCATTCCAACAGGAAGATAAGCCAGGATTATCTGAATGCAGGCTACGTTCCAACTGCACTATTCTGCTGTTTTCTCTCTGGTCAACAGAACGAGCATGTATCCCAACGAGATCTTTACCACGCCACCGAGATTGAAAAGGCCTCTCTGTAGCATGGATCCTCTGATGATTAACAAGACGATAGTTTCTGTCAAAAGATTTTTCACACAGGTTGCACTTAAAGCGTTTCTCTCCACTGTGTATTCCCTTATGATCTAAAAGGCTTCTTTTACGTGTAAAGGTTTTCCCACATTCTTGACACCAAAAGGGCTTCTTCTGACCAGTGAGGATTTTTGATTCTAGCTTTGAAGTCTCTCTATTTTCATGGTAATCACACTGCTGTTGCAAAGAGTGTTTCCTCTCATGTCGGGAGAGATTGGAACTCCATCGGAAGGCTTTCCCACACTCCTTGCACTGATAGGGCTTCTCTCTAGTGTGAACTCTCAGATGAATGAGAAGGAATGAGCGAATTCGGAACATTCTGCCACAGTATTTACATTTGTAAGGCTCTTTTGCATTGTGACTGCTCTGAGGAATGTGAAACACTGTGCTCTGGCTAGCAGGATTTCTTTCCATAGCATGATTCTCCATGTGAATAATACAAGCTGACCTATAGGTAAATGTTTCCCCACACTCAGTACATTGGTATGCTTTCTGCCTCTTTCGAATCCTCCGGCGTTCAATGAGTGGTTTCTTTTTCGTAAAAGTTTTCCCACAATCCTGAGACTGATTACTATTCTGCTTGGATTCTTCTCGACACTTCTCTTGTTTACGGAACTCTTGTTCCAGGTGTGATCTCTTATGACGAGAAAAGTTTGACTGCCACCGAAACGTTTTCCTACATCTGGTACATTTGTAAGGTTTCTCCTTTGTGTGGATCCTTTGGTGTTCAAGAACATAGGACTTACAGCTGAAGGATTTCCCACAATGCCTGCAGTTCAATTGTTTCTCCTCATCCTTGTTTGTCAAATGATTGCGATCCAAGCTGCATGTGAGAGCTTCTTTGTACTGACTGGACTCAGATGTCTTTTTAGTATGGGTCTCCTGGTGCAGGCGGCAGGCTGACAGACGTTGGAAAGCTTTCCCACATGAATTGCATTTATAAGGTTTCACTCCAGTGTGGATTTTCTCATGTCGCACACAGTTTGAACGCCACTTGAAGGCTTTCTCACACACCCTGCACTTAAACAGTTTATGTTCAAAATGGCATCTCTGATGATCTTCAAGATGGGAACGTTTACTAAAGGTCTTCCCACAATCAGGGCATCTGTACACCCTCATGGCATGAGTACTGTGCTCCTGTTGGTGATGAGAGCTAAGGATGAAGCCCTTCTTGTCTGTGTCCTCGCTCTCTGTTAGTCTCATACGAATACTCTGATGGACACCAAATCTCTCAACTGTATCTCTCAGCCCACATTTCCTGTTATAATGGTGTGATCTTCTTCTGAAGCGTCTATCAAGGCCTTGTTTAAAGGGTTGCTTTTTCTTAGAAACACTCACACACTGAACATGTTTTGCATCAAGAGCATCACTGCTGCCCAGTCCTTCAGAGTCTTCTGTCTTATTACTGATGTCAGCTCCTTTCACTCGTATGGGGCTTCCACAGGGCTTCTGTGGCCCATTCTTCTGTTCAGAAGATTCCTTGAGCCCTGTTCCCTCAGAAACAATTGTCTCAGGACATACTGATGGCAGAGAAATGGTTTCTGTGTACTCTGAGGGGTCCTGTTTCAGGATGAACTTGTGTGACTTAATTTGGGGCTTACCTCCTGGAGGGGGAAAAAAAAAATCAAAAAACAAACAAAAAAGAAAAAAAAATGTATCTCCCCACCCCCCATACTTGCAACTAATGAAGGTAACAAGAAGCTATAAAATATGGTTTGTGTTAGCAAGAATTTTGCCTGTCATCACCTTTTTCCAAGAGTCAAGATTATGGCAAAACCATGAAAATTATCTCAAATAACAGGAAAGGGAAGAGGAAGGGCCAGATATAGCGGGCAGAGAGACACAGAAATCAAATCCAGGAGGGCAATAAAAAGAGCCAAGGAAGAATATTACTAGCAAGCCAGTAGAGAAAAATCATGGCACAGGACCACCGGACAAAAGCTCCCAAAGCCGAGATTCAAGACTCTAAGAAAGGCCTGACCCAAAGAACTGGATATCAAGCCCATCATAGAAAGAAGAATCAAACAGTGAAGAACCAGAATGGGATGGATGCTCCTAAGAATAATGCAGGATGAGTACAGGTAATGCAGGAGTTGACGCAGACTCAGAAATAAGAAACATCGTAAGTGAGTGGAAAAGAGAACAGAGAAGCCCTGTAACAAGCAAGAACTCATACTGAGATGCTAGGAAAGGGACAAGGCTGGAAAGAAATGGCCTACCATAGGCCAAGCACCCCTTAGTAACTCCCAGCCAATAATGGAGCATGTCCGTCCCTAGTGATGTATTTCACCATATGAAAGAAAAGAGTCAATTTAAGAGGGGCAGGACATGATGGGTTTTATAGAACTCACTCACCTTCAGGGGCAGTATCTGAATCCCTCTTAGGCTGAACTTTGCAGATATTCACGGCCCGTGGCTTCCTTGCTTCCAACCAAGATATCAGAGCAGGTTTGGGAAATGACCCCACTGCGGGAAAGAAGGGAATTAATTCGATGGGAAGGAAGACAGGCCACATACAAGAGGAGGGAAGACCCGGAAAACAAATGGAAGAAGCTAGGACACGATGCCTGGCCAGTCATTTCTGATAGTTCTAAGCCAGTGGTTCTCAACCTTCCTGATGCTGTGACTCTTTAATACAGTTCCTCATGTTGTGGTGACCTTCAGCCATAACATTGTTTTCACTGCTACTTCATAACTATAATTTTGCTACCGTTATGAATCGTGACGAAAATATTTTTGGAGAGAGAGGTTTACCCACAGGTTGAGAACTGCTGCCCTATGCAGAGAGAAAAGAGGCTGAAAAAGGTCACAGGGGCTTCAGGGATTCTCCAAAGGAAGGGACTGGAAAGATGCCTCATCAGTTAAAGGGCACTGGCTGCTCATCCAAAGGGCCTGGTTTAGTTCCCAGCATCCACGTGGTGGCTCACAACCATCTCTAACTCCAGTTCCTATAGGGATCTGAGTCACTCTTGTGACTTTCATGAGCACAACATGCAGGTGGCATAAGAACAAAACACCTGTACACATATAATAAAAATAAATCAAACAACAGTAAGTATTCTCCAAAGGTGAGAAGTATACGACTACTCAGCTGGCTGTATCAGTTAACCATGTTTAAATGCTTAGATCGACCTGGAACTTACAACAGTCTCAGTCTTTTCAATAAGCCCACATGACAGACACTGCAATTTCCATTATTCAAGAGGGATAGTTTACTAATGGATTAAGTAATAAGGTTGGTGGTTAAGAGCCAAATCTAAGGCTAGATCCCTTTCTACTCGTTATAAAAGACCAGTGAAGATGGCTCAGTGAGTTAAGGCACTGCTGCCAAGCTTAGCCTCAGTTTGACTCACAGGACCCACATGGTGGAAAGGACAGAAGCTACTCTCACTAGTTCTCTTCTGACCACATGAGCTGTGGCATGCAAGCAGCTAAAAGCATACACATCCATGCACACAAATGAATTTCTTTTTTAATAATTAAAAAAAGGGCAAAAGTGAAGGTTGCTAGGGATGCTAAAGACTTACCAACAGAAACCACATTCCCATAATTTTCCAGCATAACATCCCGATAAAGTTTGCGCTGAGCTGAGTCCAAATACCCCCACTCTTCCTTCGAGAAGGTCACCGTCACATCCTGGAAAGTCAAAGCTTCCTGAAAAAAACCATGACTTAGAGCTGATCATGGGCTGACAGAGTTAATTAATACCAGATAAATCTGGCAAAGGTGAAAGACTATCACCCAGCAGAAAGCTCTGGTGTCTGAATATGAAGTCAAGACAACCCAGGATGAAGAAAGCTGCATTACCCATACAGCAGCAATGCTTGAGACACCAAGAAAGAGCCAAAGCCACCTGGCTCACCTAGAGCTGGGTTACCAAAGGCTTTCTGGTCGTTACCTGGTATCCTGTGCTCTCTTCTGTCTGGAAATGGGTAGGCACTGAGACAGTAGGAGAATCTGAAGGAGAAAACAACTATGAGAGAGTTGTCAAGCTGTAGACACCCAAGAAGCCCACTCTCCTCACTCCTAGAGGACTCCTGGACCTACAAGCAGACAGACTGCAATTCAAGATGCACAGACCTGTCCTCAGTGTCTGTCGGGAAGGGAAAAGGGAGGGAGAGTGGAGGGGCAATGGAAGAAGCCAACCGGACATGAACCCGAGAGGCATTCAAGAGAGCATGGTACTAGGTGACAAAAGATTCTTGTGAGGTAATAGACGGTAACAAAACAACAGTAACGGAAACACAGGAGGTATAACATAAAGCTACAGTCTAGGCAGTGAGTACCATCTTGCCCAGGCAGGAAGTTACAAACGCCTATTTTATGTGGAGGCTCCAGATGGTCCTTTGGAGCAGAACTGTTCTTGCGAGGGGACCATATCTGTGCAGACTGCAGAGCTCCGGTGCCTATCCAATGCACATCAGGGTTCTGAGAAAGGCATGGGTCCTGCCAACAAGAAAACAGTATGAGGACATTCCAATAGGTTTCAGAAAGCACACTCAGGCCCTTTCATCATTTCCTGTCAGAAGGGACCCAAAGAGAAAGACAACAGAGAAACCTCTCACTCCACAACTTCCCTCCACCAGGGAGAGACCGTGAGGTTCCCACTTAATAGGATGCATTTGGCAAGTCAGTAATAGAAATCCTCAGTGAAATGCCACAGTGAAACCTGTCCATCGCTGCCTATCTGACCCCTGGCCTAGAGACAAGAAATGAAGGGAGTAAGAATGAACAATGGTGTACAGTAGAGATCCAGACAAGTATACTGAAATGTACAGTGCCTCGGAGAAGGCTAGCTTTCACACTGTAAACCTGACAAAACAGTTACCACCATTAGAAAGACAATGTTAATTTTGCAAAGAGGGCTTTGCTCTTATACTTCAAGCAACTCTGTCTCTGAGACAAGGCTTTCCGTAACGTATAAGTGAGTACAGAAGGCTGGCTCCAGGTAATGAAATTAGCACAGTCTTCCTGGCACAATGGCTGATACTTTTCTTCACAGATGTGAACAAGCCTTAGATTGAGGCCACTGAACAACAGAGGACAAAGACTAAAACCTTACATCTTGCCCTAAATGAGCTAATCATAACCAAGCCATGCTCTTCTTACATCATTTTATAAATTACTATCAGGTCCCTCTGAACAGCCATATTGTTTTTGGTAAAAATGGCAAATGCACTTTCAAATTTTTAAAAAGACAGAAATGTTTTCTGTTTTAATAAGCATTACTTATGTTGATTTATTAAACCATTTACTACTTGTAGACTATGATCGAGGGTTACTTGATTTAATTTTTGTAATACACTTGAGAGAAACCAGAAACATTAGTAATTTTCAATGCATGAATTATGCATATAGACTCATGTTTTATTTAAAATTGAAAGCCTAAAAAATGATAAATATTTTTTTAAAAAAACTCAAAAGGAGCCAGATGTGGTGACACACACCTCTAATCACAGCACTCAGGAGGCAAAAGCAAGAACTCAGTGAGTTGAATGCCAACCTAGTCTACAGAGTTCCAGGACAGCCAGGGATATGTAAAGACCCTGTCTCAAAACCAAACAAATAAACAAAAAACTCAAAAGGCAAAGACCAGTTTCCTGAGTGCAAAGGGAACAAGAAGAATACAGACAGCAACCTAGCTGATAGCACTTTGCTGACAGGCCTGGACACGGTCAGTTCTGCTTCTTTGCACTAGGAATTAGGGCTAAGCACATTGTAAAGCCCTCAAACAGATACTGAACAAATCCTCTTGATCAGATAACTTTTGGATTTCTTTCTCAATATGCTGAGGTACTGAAAGATTGACTATGGTATCTCCGATGAAATTTTTCTTACGAAGTGCCAGTATCAAAAAACAAAACAAAGCAACAACAACAAAAACCAACAATCCCAGGAAGAAAAACAACTCAAGGATAAAGTTCATACACTTAAAAGTTTAGTCACCTCAGAGTGGCACTATCTGAAAGGATTAAAAGGATAAGTTCGGTACTGGGGGTGGGCTTTGAGGTTTCAAAAGCCCACACCAGGCTCTACCTATGGATCAGGATGCAGCTCTCTAGCGCCATGTCTGCCTGCCTGCTGCCATGCTACCCACTGTGGTGATAATGTACTAAACCCTGGAAACTGTAAGCAAGCTCCCAATTAAACACTTTATTTTATAAGAGCTGCCTTGGTCATGGTACCTCTTCAACAGCAATAGAATAGTGACTAGACAGGCTCTTTGCAAAAATCAGTGTGACTGCCATTTTTGCTAGTCATATATTTTGGCTCTTGTAACTACCTGTTTAGCAAAAAGACCTGGGGATCTTCCAGCCAAGGTGTAGTTTTCATGCTCAAATACAAACCCTGAGAAAGGCTCGGAATTACACTTGGGTCCCAAATACCCACGTGTGGTCACCAGCCAGCTCAAAGACTTTCAAGTGATCACAAACTGTGATCTTCCCTGGGGGGTGGAGGCAGGAAGTCCACAACAGTATGTCTAAGAATATTAGGCTATACAATAAAGCTTAAAATTGAGGTCTTCCAATTTCCTAGCCCAGGGATGCCCATCCAGTCCTTGAGCCAACCCCCCAAAACCCTCTGAAAAGGAAACATATTACTACATGCAGACTGCTCTTTTGTGTTCTTCCATTCAGATTTCAAGATTACTGACTCCTTTCGGTCCCCGCTTCTGCCCCTACCACTATACAAGGCTATGGTTAGTCTTGAACCAAATCAGCTCCTTCTACAGTAGCATGCCTGCCTGCACGCCACCATGCTTTCCATCATGACCATGATAATGGACTAAACCCCTAAAAAGGTAAGTCAGCCCTAATTAAATGTTTTTCTTTATAGGAGTTGACATGGTCATGGTGTCTCTTCATACCAACAGAAACTTTTCTAAGACAGGGAGTGGTTATCAGGGAGTGGTGGTATTACTGTGAAAGGCAGGGAACCATGCTTTTGTTTGGAGGAATGTGGATTTGGAGACTTTGAGTGGTGTTTAATGGGCCATACTAGTAGAAGAATGGTGGTGTTGATGGTGATTTCAACAGTGGTGCCTATGTAAAGAGGTTTCAGAGTGAAGGGACCGGCTCCCCATTTCGGCAGCCATAACAGCTTGTCTGACCTTGTTTTAGTCACTAAGGTCAGATGCCTGCACCTGTCGGCAGCCATAACAGCTGAACACATGCTTGTTTGACCTTGTCCTAGTCACTAGAAAGTCTGATCCCTGCCTCGTGGCAAGGAACCAATCAGAAATTAGCTGATGGCGCTATGCTTTACTGCACTGGGTGTGCTTTACGGATAAGTGCACAGCAATGATGCTCAGAGCATAGCAACCACCCTGGGAGGGCCTATGGGCCATAACAACCAGTTGGCCAATCAACACAGAGCAAGCCCTCCAAGCATGAAGGCACACCAATCCTGAGCCTGTGCGTACCCCTAGATACTCCCCTTACGCTGCCCTATAAGATCTCTACGCAGCCCCTAGGAGCTGTCTTTGCTAGCCATCCGCCATGGAGGGTGGGTGAAAGACCCGAGCTAACATGGGGTTAGCTCGTTAAAAAACAATAAAGCCTCATGCAGTTTGCAGCAAGCTCTTGAATCTGCCTGGTGATTGGGGTGACCACCGTCGTGGCCTGGGACCCCAGATACCTGAGTTTTTCTGGGGTTCTAACAAGAGGAGATAATTTTAGTATGTTGCCTAGAGATTGTTTGTAGGCATCTGGTCTGTGGACCTGAAACGGTGGCCACTTTGGGTGTGGCTTCAGGCCGATGGAAGCGGAAAGAGAGGAGCTTGAGGCATGGCTTTCCTTTGCATGCTCTTTCTGGTGGGTCAGCAGACCTGGTAGGGAGAGCAGGGAAACGCGCTGGTGGTTCTGCATTTTTCTGTGTATTTGTCCCCAATAAATACCCATTTATCATTTATCTTGGGTCTAGTGATATAATTATATCCTCTCGCCTTCAATTGTTCTTGTGATATTTTGGCAAAGAATGTGGCTGGGTTTTGCCCTTGTCCAAAAAGTTTGCCTGAGGCTAAACAAGAGTTTTGGATTAATTCATTTGGCAGAGGAATCTCAAAACAGCCTTGTATTGATTCTGTCCTGTGGTTATTAGTGTTCACTCCTATGAAGATCTATAATGAGAAGGAGCAAGCTGAGCAAGGAAACAATACAAAACGTACAGTTCAAGGAGAAAAGGGACACCAGGTAACCATCGAAACAGAAAGCTGATGAAGATGTATTTGAATGAGGGGGCCATGTTCCAGCCCCAGTGAGCAGCAGAACTTGGCAGCTTCAGCCACATGGTTCTGGGTTTAGAGTCAAGGATAGAAGAAAAGGGTTATGGAATCTCCATCAACAACTAAGGAAAACTACTGAGGCCAGGCATGTGCCAAGGGTATCCCTGAATGGAGGCCTAAAAAGGCCATTATATGAAGCTGTGAGGGTGGCCCTCACGACGTTGGAGATGCCAGAGCCATGGGATCCATGCGAGCAGCTAGCTGCGAGTGGAACCAGCCCGAGAGAAGTGTGTCACAGTCAACAAAGCTGAAAGGAGCTGTAGATTTGCAGTGTTTTGACATCAGACATGGAGAGGCAGTTTGGAGTTTGCCCAGTTGGTTTGCTCCAGTATTTCCTCACTATGCTCCCTTTTAGAATTACACTGTACATCCTGGTGCCATTATATGTTAAAAGTATGTGATCTGGTTTTTTATTTTATAGGGCACTACAGTTAAGAGACTGCATGAGTCTCAGAAGAGACTTTGAACTTGTAAACAAGTTTGAAATTGTCAAAGACTATAGGAACTTTCGAAGTCGGACTCAATGCATTCTGTATGGCTACCAGCCTAGGGGAGCCAGGGAATGGAGTGTGGTCATTGAATAAAAATGCAACTGTTACGAGATGTAGTGTTATCAGAATAGAAATGGCACTGTATGCCACTGTCACTTTCTGCTCCTTCAGCAGCACCGTGTCTGCCTGCACAACACCATGCTCTGCCATGGCCACGATGATGGACTAAACTTACTAAACTTCTGAAATTGTAAGCCACCCCCAAATAAATGTTTTTCTTTGTAAGTGTTGACACGGTTCATGGTGTCTCTCTACAGCAACAGAAACCCTAACTAAGACAGACATGGAGCTGGACTTTCTATAATATAAACCACTGTATCCATAAGCTAATTTTATGATTTTTGTCTTTTTTCAAGACAGGGTTTCTCTGTGTTAACAGCCCTGGATGTCCTGGAACTCACTCTGTAGACTGCCCTCAAACTCAGAGAGCCGCCTGCCTCTGCCTCCCAAGTGCTGGGATTAAAGACATGCACCACCACTGCCTAGCTCCATAAGGTAATTTTATTAATGATTTATTAATACCTGCTGATCCTATTCTAGAGGTGGTCTTCTTGTGTAAAGCATAAAGAGCTCCTTGCTGAATGGTTCACAATCAGAGTCCCATTCTCAAATGCTCAGATGTTAAGAGAACTAACAAGGGGAAGCTTTCGTACATTTCTCATCTCTGAAAGGGCAGGCAGAACTTATGTGTGTCACCTACCTTCAGTGGTATTCCATGATGATCCCTCTGCAACTCTTCCAGCAGAGCCACCACCTCCGCGCCACTCTCAGGGCAGTGCAGCTGTACCCACATGCGCAGCTCCGCAGGCAGGATGCTCAGGAGCTGCTCCAGCACCAGCAGCTCCATCATCTGTGCTTTGGAAAGAACATCAGGCCTCATCCACCAGCGGCAGAGCTCCTGGAGCCGCCTCAGAGTTTCCAGGGGCCCAGAAGACTCATGGTAGCGAAGCTGCCTAAAGAGCTGACGGAATAGCTCCTGGCCAGGGCGGTTAAGTGTCTGTGGCCGGGGCGTCCGAACCAAAGTATAGCCATCTTCCTCCTCTTCTTTCTTTACTGTACGAAGGTGTTCCCTGGAAGCCTGAGCTGAATGGGCAGCGTAACACCTGCCTGGAGGCATTGCTCTTGTCAGGGTCACCCAGATAAACACAAAACACGTCTGCTGCTTTTACTGAATCACTGCTGCATCCTTGGGAGTATCTTCTCAGCATGGTAGCGCACAATGTTATTTGCAAAGTCATCAGAAGTCACTGGTAAGAGACTGAAATAGCCAACATTCCTGTTCAGAAGAAAACAGATAAGAAAATGGTACCCATAGTGCATGATGCAGCTAAGTCCTATAGGTGGGGAATGTAGGGGAAAGGGGGCTAGCCAAAGAAACACACCCTGAGCAGAACCCAAGAAATGCACCTTGACGCTGAAACCAGTGCCAAAGAAATACACTTTGTCCCTGGAATCAGAGCCAGTGAAAGAAATACACCCTGGCTCTAAAACTAGAGCCAAAAGGCTAAAAAGGACCAGTGAAAGAAACACATTTTGGCCCTGAAACCAGAGCCAAATCTGACCTTAAACTAGTGCAGAAAACTAACCAATCCCTGAGCAGGAGATCTAGCCATCCTAAACTCAGGGATTGAAATCTGACCAACCAGTTCCCACCCTAGAAAAACTCCGGCTCCTAAGAATCCCTATCCTATATAAACCCTGTGTCTGCTCAGCTTGTGGCTGTTTGGGCTGCCCAGCTGTCCTCTGCCACCCTGGCAGAGGGCAGCCACTGTCCTGGATTCTTCCCTCCCAATAAATCTCGAGTGAGGTTTGGGTGAGACCTTCTTTCGCTGGAGCACAGAGGACCCTGAGCAGAACAGATCAGGGCTGTAACACTTTTAGACCTGGCAACCCTCCCCATGCTAAGCAGAGTTGTTACACTCCACTCTCTGGGGGACTGGAGTAGAATTTTAACAACTTCTCGGAGAAACCCTCTCCTACAGGAGCAGAGCTGATACACTGGGGAAGCCTTTCCCTCAAGCAGGGCTGTGAGCTGTTATGCTTACTGTGACCTGTGGTATTCCTTGGCTCCCGAGTGCCAGAATACCTTTCCGTCCAAGCTCGAGCTGTAACACTCAGTATTATTTGGCGGGTGCCATAATCCATCCAAGCCATTGAAATGCTTATAGGGATCATTTGTGAGCCATCACATCTCATCTCACACGTGTGAGAAGACATGTGCGTGAGTACATACACAGACTGAGACCTAGGGCGGAAAGCTAATAAAGTATCCCTGAATACAGTTAAGATACGCATAAGGCTCGAAAACACAAGGGGCTGACAAAAGAATCTAAATAAGTAGACGGGCACACCACACCTACACTCATGTACTGGAGACATGGCATGAAAAGCTATCAATTCTCACACTGATATTTGGTTCAATTTGTAGCAAAATCTCAGGAAGATGGGAGGGAGAGGAGGTGGGGTCATATCCCAGTAGTAGAGCAATCGTCTAGCGTGTACAAGTCCCTGGATTCAGTCCCCAGAACCACTGGGAGAAAAAGAGAAAAGATGTCACCATGATACTACAATTTATCCTGAAAGGCAAAGGGACTGGATTAGCTAAAAAAAAATTACTTTGAAAACCAAAGTAGAAGAAATAGATATACCTGAATTCATTACATTTTTATTTTGTGTGTCTGGGTGCTTATGTATGCAGAGGCTGGAGGACTACTTACAGGAGTCCATACTCGCTATCCTATGGGTTCCAAGGACCAAACTCAGGAGCCTTTACCCACTAAGTCATCTCGTCAGCCCAGTCTACTTGATTTCAAGATTTATAGCTTCAGGAAGCAAGCCAATGTGGTACTGGAACAAACACAGAGATTAATGGAAAGTAAGCATATATGGAAATAGAACAGACAACAGCCACAAAAAAAAAAAAAAAAAAAAAAGAAAAAAAAAAAAAAACCCACCCAAAAAAAAAAAAAAAAAAAAAAAGGAAAAATCAAGCTTGTGAATTCACATACTATACTATAGTTTTGCTCTTTAGTGTCTTCCTTCTTCCTGTTTTTGAGACAGCATTTTGCTATATGCCTTAACTGGCCTCAAATTAATGATTGTCCTGCCTCAGTACCCAAGTGTACACTTTGTTTTTGTTTTTTTAAGTTTTTCGAGACAGGGTTTCTCTGTGTAACTCCCTAGCTGTCCTGGAACTAGCTCTGTAGACCAGAGATCCGCCTGCCTCTGCCTCCCACATACTGGGACTAAAGGCTTGAGCCACCACCACCCGGCCTCAGTTTGGATTGTAATGTCCTCCTCAGGCCTATATACTGAAGGCTTGGTCCTAGCCTATAATGCTACTGGAAGGCAGAGCCTTCATGGACTGTTTTAGTTACATGTTTAAAATTCTTCACATAATATTGATATTGATGTAACAATGTTATGTGGTAAAATTACATGGGACTGGAGAAATGCCTCAGCAGTCAAGAGCATTCAATATGCAATTATGAAGTTCTGACCCCAGCACCTACAAAACAAGCCAAGTGTCATGCAATTGCCTATTAACTCCAGCTCCAAGGGACTGCTCTTCTTTTGGACTCTGAATGTACATGTAAGCATGCATAACCACACATACACATTTGCATACACACACAGAAATAAATCTAGAATAAGATGACGACGAATATCTTCATACCCAGAGTATCCAAAACTCAGGTTCTAAATACCATTCTCCAATAAAAAGTAATCGGGGCTCTGAAGAGATTGACGTCAAGCTGGATACAGAAAATACAAGTGTTTTGCAATATCAGAAATTAGCAAACGACAAAGCTATATACTTACTTAAGCAGAGCAGGAGCAGGTAGCCCAACAGGTAAAAAGTGCTTGCCTCACCATCCCCAGGATCCATGTAAGGTAGAGGGAACTGACTCCACACCCATAAAGACACATCATGCACACCCACACATCCACACACACATTAAATTTTAAAACAAAAGATAATTTAAGCAGGCAAGGCATGACAATGAATGTCTATTATCCCAGTACTTGGGAAGTGGAGGCAGGAAGATAAGGAATTCAAGGCCAGCTTGAATTTTGTTTTGTTTGTCTCAAACAAAACAAAAACAAGGAAGTGGGGTGGGAAGTACACACCAATATAAACTGATCAAATTTTAAAAAACAAGAACAGTCAAGTCAGCATAGTGGCATGCCTGCCTTTAGTCCCATCATTAAGGAGACAGGGGCAGGCAGATCTTTGTGACAACAGAGTAGGTTCCAGGCCAGCCAGGGATAGCTGAGACTGTCTCAAAAGCAACAAAGCAAGGAGAGGGCAATCTTCCTCACAAGGCTTGCCAGTAAGAAATGTACAAGAAAATGAAAAGAAACACAATACTCATTAACATAGGAAAGACGTTAACCAAGAAGTGAATGGTTTTGTTTTGGTTTGGTTTTTACTTTTTGTTGTTGTTGAGACAGGGTTTCTCTGTGTAGCCCTGACTGTCCTGGAACTCTGTAGACCAGGCTGACCTTGAACTCACAGGCTGGCCTCTGTCTTCAGAGTGCTGAGACTAAAGGCCTATGCATCCCCATGGCCCAGCCAGGAAGTGAATAAAGGAGAGCCAACACAGAACTCAAAAAATTTTCCCCCAAAACAGCACAGATCACAGAGTTAAACACAGAAATTCTCAAGTGGTGAAATTTGACAAATGCCAGTAACAAGGACACATCAACCCTACCTAAGAACAAGAAAACATCAGATACAAGAACATTCTAAAATTGCAAATAATGAAATGCTTCAAAAAAAAGTCAAAACCTTGGGGGCTGGAGACATGGCACTGTAGTTAAAATCACTGGCTGCTCCTTCCACAGGACCCACGTGGGAGCTCACCACTGTCTGTAACTACAGGCATAAGGGATCAGACACCCTCTTCTAGCTTCCATAGGCACAAGGCACACACATGGTGATTAGATACACATGTAGACAAAACACTTATACACTAAATTAAATGGTTTTTATCAAGGTCTGAATGGTATGGCTGCTAGAATAAAGCGCATGGGGAACCTTTGCAGATTCCATGGCAGACGAGGATGACCAAGGCAGGGGACAAACACCTCAGGCAGACAGAGCTTAGTGAGAAGTTTTATTAAAAGGGGGGGGGGGACAAAAGAGGTAAAGAGACACAGAGAGGGGACAAAAGAGAAGAGGGAGACATGAAAAGTCTTGTCTGCCCCAGGGGAACTGCAGGAAAGAAGAGAGTAAATGGGCGGAGGTCTTTTCTTTTAAAGGGGTCCATTGCACCAACGTGCAAACTAGTACTCATGGAACCCTGGGTTGACCAGGGTACTGAGTGCATTCCAGGGGCAGGCCAGCGTAATCCCTGAGTCGTTACAATGGCTATGCTTGGTAATGAGCCTACCAGGTAAAGTTTAGTGTCAAAACCGCAGTTCAGTTGAACCTTAGTTGGATCACAGGAGCCAACACAGCAACCAGCGAAGCCCACAGTTATTCTATCCCCACATGCTCACTGCCCCATGTATACACATGCACTCACACAAAAATAAGTTGCAGGCCAGGTGTGGCGACACACGCCTTTAATCCCAGCACTCAGGAAGCAAAAACAGGAGCATTTCTAGGAGTTGGAGGCCAGTGTGGTCCACATATCACGTTTCAGGCCGGTGGGTATTACCAGCCAGATTCTCCACCCGAGAGAGGCAGGTTAGGGCTTATAAAACCAAAGACCACAATTGCATTATACCAGGGGCAGAGCCGGTGGCACAAGTCTCAAAGTTTCTTTAACATAGGTCTCCAAAGCTTAGCTGATTAGAACAATGACTTCCTGGGGCATGCCTGGTCAAGAATGAAACTCAGCACGGCTGCGGAGCAGTTAAGAGGAAGCTCACAAAATGGAGTCAGCGAAAGCAAAATGGGGTTCCCATCAGTTCCTTTCCATCTTCTCCATCATTTTTTCTCTCAAGCAGCTCTGGCGCCGCAAAATGCTTATATAAACTAATAACTAATGGATACCAGAAGCCACAGAAAATTTGGGGCTGGGGCTTGTGAGCACTTTTTTTTCCTCAAGGGCGTATCAAAGCTTAATTTCAAACGCGTCCTTCCCGGCTTATAAAACGTTATCCTTTTTATTTATTTATTTATTTATTTATTTTACTTTAATAATTGGGAGAAAGGGTCATTAAATCGCCCAGGTTCCCGGTCTTAAAATGCCTCAGCATCCTCAGAAGCAGGGCAAGAGTCTGTGACCCGAGCCACAGGCCAAGCCGTCGAGCATCCTATCTCAGACACCGTAGAAGGGCCTTTTCCTGCTCTGTTCTGTTGTTTTTAACCGACCCGCACGGCTAGGCGCGGGCCGACGCGCTGAGTTTCTGCTAACAAGTCCGGAGCCCGTCACAATGGCGGAGGCCGGACTCTGAGGGACCCAGGCTGCTGGGCGGCACCGCTCCAAGCGCCGAGAACCCACCTGGGCCGCGGCATCTCCTCGGGGTCAGGACACCGCACACCGTGCCCCGCCGCTCGGGGTGGTGCACCCGCTCTCCCGGCCGCTTACCAACGGACGCCGGAACCTTCACGTTACTCCCCGGATGGCGGCGGTGCGGGTGCACTTGTGGGTCCACTTCGCCGTGGCCTCTCTAGGACAGCGGAAGTATGCCTTCTGGGGACTCTCTAGCAAAGCCGGAGGAATGCCATCTCAGCTGCTCTCTGCCCGGATCCGCCCTGGCTGCCCTGGCAAGGCTCAGCTCGCGCTCCTGGCTAGGCGAGGTGGCTGGCGTGCTTCCTGTGTCTCGCCCTCTGTCGGCGGATAAGAGCTTTATCTGGAAGAGGAAGTGTGTCCTGGAGGCGCTGTTGAGGAGGAGCTTTTCTCTTCCTTTGTATTGAATAAACCATCTCAGCCTGGCTGAAAGACCCTCAGATTGAGGAATCTCCAACCTGGACGGACGCCCAAGAACTCAATGTCCAGTCCAGTTGGTGCAACACGCAAGAGGCTTTAATGAATGGTGAACGTTTGTACAAATGGGCCTCCTCAGCACGCAGGCTAGAGAGAAACCCAGATCTCCAGGCACAGGCGTTTTTTAAAGGCAAAAACCACAAGCTGAGGGAGGGCTGCGACCCTCTGACCGTTGAGTATGTGACCAGGGTCATGGGTTCCTGGGAGGCCCTTTGTCTTGAGGGGAGGGCTGGGAATCAGATGGCCTCCTGACCCACCGGTAGTAAAACCCTGAGACCTCACGATGCGCTAATCAATCTTGCCTAAGCAAATGACGGTTGCTGACCCTTTGTTTCACAAGGATCCTGCTTTTCAGCTTCTGACGCAGCGGTCAGTCAGGTAATCTGTCGGGTTTCTCCATGATCTTCCCTGGAGGTCTGTGGTCATCTGAAACATTTGGAATTTAACTATGTATGGCCCTCTAAGAGTGGAGTTGCTGAACTACATACCGGCCTTATTTCGCTTCTTCTGTTAATTTTTAGTCTTTTAGGCAGACCGTTGGCAGAAACTGAAGGACTCTTTTAACAGGCCCAAGCGTGGCAAACCTGGCTCTGGCAGGTCTTGCCCAACCCACTCTTTCTCCCTTGCTAAACCGATAGGTTCCCTTTTTAGGCACTTCCACATTCCTGAAGCTAGCCAACAAGGTCGCTTGCCTTGTGTGTTTTCTTTCTAATGTGGGACTCATTCCTGAAGGTGATCACTAAGGTCCAGCAATGAAAATTCCCCGTCAGAACTTACCAACCCATCCTAGCTCATTCTCACACAAACTCTCCTGTTTAACCTTTTAAAAATTACTCCTGCAAAGCTGTTTGCTGCTGTTTCTGTTCTTCCAGTCAGATCCCGCCACCTTATCTTTGCCTAGGTTAATAAAGGGTCTCTTTGTGTTGGAAATTGGTGTTTGAGTGGGGTCTGTGCCTAACCGCAGGGTAACTTTAGCCCTTACGCTCAGGTTCGGCAACCTCTTATTTGGCAGGAGAGACAAAGCAGGCAAGCAGAAGTACAAGTACAGAGCACTGTACATAACAGTAAAGGGTTGGGCAGGGTTAAAATTCAGTTACCCCACCTGCACAGACAGAGCCTCGAGTTTCTAGATAGTGCCAGTGGGCAGGGGATCAGCCAAACAGAACTGTGTCAGCGCTGGAGAATTTTCTTAGCTTTAATGTGGCAGTTTGGGGGTGGGGAGTGTTCCTGTTTCTGATAAAGTGAATTAGAAGATTTATAAGGCATGGGCCAAACAGTAGAATCAGGAGAATTACAACCAAAAGCCCCACTTGGGGTGGGGATAGGAGTAGGAACCAGTTATGCCTGTATCACTGTATCGACCTGCAGGACGTCAACCTGGGGCAAGAGAGTCAGGGATAGGGAATGGGGACAAGAGACGCAGAAAGAATGACCACAACACAGGATTCTGATCAAGTGGCAAACTTTATTTTTCTCAGGCTAGCTTATATAGTCAGCAGAGCAGGACATAGGGAGAGGTAGAATGGGTTGTTTGTGCACCAGGTGTTAGTGTAGGCAGGATATTAGGAAGCCACAAAGAGGATGTTTGGCAGGTTAAAGAGGTCCAGGAAGGGGTTGCCTAGGTGACTGAGCCTGTGGGTGGAGGACTGGGTCAAATTGTTTCTTTTCTTGAGCTGAGGTTCTAAGGAGCTGCTATGTAAAGGTTAACTATGTGACCGGCCAAGCATCTCATGAGATTTGGCTCCCAACATATCATGAGCCCCCAGAGACCACTAGGAATCCAAGTTCTTATGCAGAAGCAAAGGACCTTTATTGCAAGCTCAAACTTGGACTTTCTTTCTGTTCTGACACAGAGGCTGGCATCAAGCTCAGGTATAATAGGGTTTTAAGGAGTAAAGGATGGTGGATGGGGGCAGGAGAACTTCAGCCCCTCTGGAGGCTGCTGTATCAGATTGCTCGATGGCGTCCCTCCCGAGGTAGGATAGACAATTTAATAAACCTTGTGCATTTGCACCAGTGGTCTGTATCCCTGGTTTCTTTGGGGATCCTTGTGACTCAGGCACAACATTTGGGGGCTCATCCCAGGATCCCCAGAGACCCTCTGGACCCCAGACCCCCGGAGGTTTTCATCACCCAGCTGGGTAAGCTAGATTTTTCTCTGTTAATTTTCCTTTTTCTCTGGCCCGAATCTCTGATTCAAACTCTGTACAGGTCACGAGTACCTAGGCAGACGAGCTACTAGGTGGGCCTGGAGGAACCAGGAGACCTTGTCAACACAGGGGCCCATCTGGGCCATCCTGTCATGATCCCTGGATCCCAACTGTTTTTCTCAAAGTTATGAGGACGATGAGCCTCTGGTGGGCCTGATAGGGTCTGACCAAGACCGACCCTCTGAATTCCGAGGAACTCTGGTACTCTGTCTTGGAACTCTGATAATCTGTCTTGGACCCTTCTGTCTGACTGTTGTGTTTATCTCTGTTCTGGTTATTTGTCTGTGTGACTGTTGTGTTTGTCTATTTTCTGTTTGTTTTTCTGTTGATGGCCTCACCATCAGGACTAAAATGGGTGCAACTCCATCCTCACCCCTTAATTTTGGCCCACTGGGGCGACGTTAGAGCAGCTGCCCATAACAACAACGTTAACATAAAAAAGGACAAATGGATTACTTTTTGTTCCTCCGAATGGCCTACATTTAATGTCAGATGGCCATCTGGAGGGTCTTTTCTTTTAGATCTCATTACCAAGGTCGAAAAGATTGTTTTCAGAGCCCGAACAGGATATACTGATGAAATCCCCTACACCATCACTTGGCGGGGACTCATTGATCAAATGGACCGGTCCCTCCCTTGGGTTAGGCCATGTCTTCCCCCATCTGTTCCCTCTGGCCCCCTGTCCTCACAGGTTTTCCCCATAAAGAAGGAAGCGGCTAAGCCCATTCTGCAGGGAGGAACAGAGGCTGATACCATCCAGCCTCTCATCTACTCTCTTCCCTCTCCTTGACCTGGATCCCCACCGGCACCCCTCTAGGCAGACAATCATCCACCCACATAGCCAAACTCTATAGTGCCAGACCCCCTGAAATGCTGTACTAAGGGCTGGCTCAGGCAACCAGAAGTCGGAGGGGTGCAACAGCTCAACCAGAGGCCACTTCGCCCAGCAGGTCCCTACTCTCTTTCACTACTGGCCATTTGCCACTACTGATCTTTACAACTGACATTCGCAGAATGCCTCCTTTTCAGGAAACCCTAGGGACCTTATTAACCTCTTAGAAACTGTCCTTTTTACTCATCAGGCCACTTGGGATGATTGCCAACAACCCCTCAAAGTCTTACTTATGCTGAGGAATGGAACAGAATCCTGGAAGCATCCCGGAAATTGGTTCCAGTTCAAACAGGGGGCCTTCCACTGACCCCTCTGTCCCCAGCACCAACTTTCCCTCCAGTCCGCCTAGATTGGGACTAAAACACTGCAGAAGGTAAGAAGGAGAGGCTCCCTAGTCTTATCGCCAGACTCTGGTAGCGAGTCTCAAAGTGGTGGCTCAGAAACCAGCCAACATGTCTAAGGTGTATGATGTCAGGAAGGAACCTGATGAGAGCCCAGCAGCGTATTTAGAGAGACTTCAGGAAACCTTCCAAAGATATACTCCTTATGATCCTGAAGCTGAAGGGTCAGCACGGACAGTTATGTTCACCTGTGTCACCCAGGCAGCGCCTGACACCAAGGAAAAGTTACAATCATTAGATAGACTAGAAGGAAAGAACCTTAGGGACCTAGTGGCTGTGGCAGAAAAGGTATACAATAAGAGAGAAACAGCAGAACAAAAAGGGAAAAAAGAGAGAGAAGACAGGAAAGAAGCCTTGCCAAAATTCTAGAACAACAACAGAATAGGCTAGAAAAGATTCTCCTGACCACTCAACATCCCTGGAAGGAACCACAGAAGAGGAACAGAAGCCTAAACCAAAGGCAGGGAAAAACCAACGTGTATACTGTAAAGAAGAAGGACATTGGGTCAAGGACTATCTGAAAAGGAACATGCCCCCAAAAATGCCCAGGTCCTACCGGCATACACTGGGGACAGTGACTGAGGGGAACGGGGATTGGGCCCCTCCCTGAGCCCAGAGTAACCCTAAAAGTGGAGGGGAAGGCAGTTGACTTCATGGTAGACACAGGAGCAGAAAACTCAGTCCTCCTAAAACCAGGAGGGCCTCTGTCTGCCAAACCACCTGGGTCCAAGGAGCTACAGGGACAAAACCCTCCTCATGGACTACCCAAAAGAACAGTGGACTTAGGGATAGGACAGGTAACCCATCCGTTTCTGATAACAGAATGTCCCTATCCCCTCTTGGCCCGAGACCTGCTTACTAAAATGAAGCCCAGATCCACTTTTCTGATAAAAGGGCCGCTCTACTCCACCAAGACGGGAAGCCAGTTCAAGCCTGGTCACAAGTAACTTGGCAGAGGAATATAGAGCCAATAAAGCCTGAACCTAATATAAAAGACTGGCTTCAGAAATAACCCCTAGCATGGGCAAGATGGGGAACATGGAGCTGGCACAACACCAGTCTCCATTGAAATCAAGTTGGGGGCAGACCCAGTTAAGGTCCGCCAATACCCCATGCCCCATGAAGCAAAGAAATGGATCACACCCTACCTGCCTCTACCTCCCAAGGGATGAAAAGTGTGTACCCAACCATCACCCATCAGTACCTTGCTCTTTAGACTGCTTCCTGGAGTCTAGATATATCAACATCTTCGGGCACTG